ACTCTAACTTTCCGTCTAGAAATGCAGCTCTTGTGCGTCCCCAGAAAACAGATCCCAGGAGACCTGATTTCTCAAAGCTACCCAGGATACCAAAGATCCACAGGGACCGCAGTGACGGCACACAGGACCAGGCCCCAGCCAGTGGGCAGACTGTGGAGCTCCCCAGCACTTGCATCAGCCGCCTGACGGGCAGGGAAGGCCCCGGGCAGCCAGGGCGAGGCCGGGCTGAGAATGAGCCCAGCAGCAGGGGTCCCCAAGAGACTGGCTCACACACAGGTGGTTCTCGCCCTTCTGCCCCCAGCTCCCATGGCAGTGTGGCCCCCCTAGGCCCCTCAAGAGGAAAGGGCATTGGGTCTACCTTTGAAAGCTTTAGGATCAACATCCCTGGGAACACCGCACATTGCAGCCAGCTGTCCAGTCCTGGCTTCTGTAACACATTCCGGCCAGTAGATAGCAAGGTGCAGAGGAAGGAGAACCCTTCACCCCTCTTCTCCATCAAGAAGCCAAAACAACTCAAGAGCGAAATCTATGACCCCTTTGAACCCACTGGCTCGGACTCCAGCCCTCCTAGCAGCAGCCCTGAGAGTCTTGGCCCAGGCCTCCTGCCCTCTGAGATCACCAGAACTATCTCCATCAACAGCCCAAAGGCCCCAGCCTTCCAGACTGTTCGCTGTGTTACCTCCTACAGGGTAGAAAGCATCTTTGGGACTGAGATGGAACCTGAGCCCCAGCCCCCCAGTGAGCCTGTGTCTGGCATGCTGGAGTTCCTGGGCAAGGGACCTGCTGAGGGAGCCTCCGATATGGAACAAGAAGGACATGGGGAGATGGAGTCTACGGAGATCCAGGGCTCTGCAGCCCGAACTCAGCAGCCATCCCCACCAGACCCTTGGGATGATGAAGATGGAGTGTCTTGTACACCCTTCTTTGATTCTGAGGAACGGACAGTGACATGTGTGACTGTTGTGGAGCCAGGTGTTCCACCGAGCCCAGATGCTCCGCAGATAACCACCCACAGGATTGTGGAGCTCAGGGCCCCATCCCGTTCCCGTTCCACCTCCAGCTCCCGCAGCAGGAAGAAGACTAAGAAGAAGAAGGTTGCCAGAGAGCACCAGAGGACACGCTCCAGCACTCGTTCTGGCTCCAGGGACAGGACCTCACGCTCAGCGTCTCCGGTGGCTGAGGAACACACCAAGAGGCACAGAGCCAAGGCTAAGAGCCGGAGGTCTTCCAGTGACCGTGCCGGCAGCCAGGACAGAGCAAAGAGGAGGAGGGACAGGGACAGAGAGCGGAGGCGGGGCCCCTGGGGTCATGGCAGGTGCTGGAGGAAGTCCAGGTCTCGCTCAGGGAGTCCTGACAGTTCTTCCTGTGAGCGCCATGAGAGTAGGAGACGGAAGAGGCGCCATTCGGGGTCCAGGTCTCGAGGCAGGGACTGCTCACCCCACAGTAGCCTGGAGAGGGACCGGAGACACAAGCATCGGGAGCGGAGCCGAGAGCGGATGGATAAGAAGGAGAGTGTGACTCGGTCCCGGGAGAAAAGGAGGTATCGGTCTCGGTCACCCAGCTTGGAGCATAGGCCACGGAGGCCACGTTCCCGTGAGAAGCGGCCCCATTCCCCAGAGAAGAAGGTGACTGTGAGGGAGGTTTCCCCAGCCCCTACTCCACAGGGAGAGCCAAGGCAGGATGGAAACCACCCTGCCAAGCCTCCAGTCTCAGAAGTAAGTGTCCTGCCAGAGGTGGTTGTGGCTGACCTAAAGCCTCCAGAAGTCCCTCCTATCCTGGCAGAGCCTGTTGAGTGTGTACCTGAGGACCTAGACTATGGTGATTCTGTGGAGGCAGGCCACGTCTTTGAGGATTTTTCAAATGAAGCCATCTTCATTCAGCTCGATGACATGAGCTCACCTCCTTCCCCTGAGAGTACAGACTCCTCCCCTGAGCGAGACTTCCCATCAAATCCCCCAGTGCCCCTAGCCAGCCTTCCACAGGACACTGCTCTACCTGCCATCCAGAGGGAAGTGTTACTGGTTCACAGTGATGATGTCTCAAAGCCTGCACCCCAGGCTTTGACCCCTGCAGACCCGTGCCTGCTCAGGCAGGACACTATAGGGACCGCTGCCACAGCTCTTAGCACCCCGGGTGTGGTGCCCACGGGGAAGGACAAGCCTTTGCTGAGTGGGAGAGGATGTGACACAGTCAGGCCCAAGGATGCTGTGGCCCAGGCCCCAGTGCTGCGGTCCAGAACCCTGGTGAAAAGAGTCACCTGGAACCTTCAGGAAGCAGAGGACAGCGCCCCAGAGTTGGACAGAGTTCCAAGTGAGTTGGCCCTGCCAGTGCCTGGGCCCCTGGTGGTGGTTGTCCTTGTGGATCAGGGGTGTACAGCAGGCATGAGGCATGAGGCAGGGAGGCAGCCACCCCAAGAGCCTCTCCTGACTCTTTGGGGCCCCTACCTGAGTTCAGCCTCTTAGAGATAGATCTGCAGCTTGGCCTTGGTTCCCACTGCTGGTTCTCTGAAAATGTTTTGGCCAGGGTTGACCACAAGGCACCCACCTTCCCTGTCTGTTGGGTCCTCAGGGACACCACTTCAGAGGTCACAGAGGCCCCAGGAAGGAGACTGGGATGCAGAGGACAGGGCCCTCATAGGAATTCAGCAGGCACCATTCTCCGACCTGCCCCCTCCCATCCACGTGCTCCAGGAGTCTGGGTTACCTGATGCAGATCCCTCTCAGGTGGGTGCTGGGCTAGAGGAGCATGGTCCTGGTGCTGGGTATTTGGGGCTGCCCTGGTTAGGGCTTAGACCTCATGGCACTACTTCCTTTCTATACAGCCCCCTGGTGCTTCCGGGGCAGAAGGGCTGCCTGCTATTGGGACTCTACACTCAGCAGGAGGTGTTCTTGCCCAGGTTTACAGCCCCAACATGCCACCACCCCTGGCTCAGCCCTCAAGCATCCTGCCCTATGCACTGGTCAGCCAGCCCTCAGTCCAGTTGCTCCTGCAGGGGACCCTCCCCCTAGCAGGCTGCAGTGCAGCACAGAGCCTAGCCCCAGTGCCCACTGTGCCGGCCACAACCTCAGAGCTAGCTATCCCAACAACCACCACCACCAACTCGGAGGAAAAGACTGCTACTCCCAAGTCAGCTGCTGAGAAGACCAAAAAGGAGGAGGTGAGTGCTGCCTTGTCCTTCAACGACCTCTGTCTCATTCGGGCCTGATTTTCGGTCTAGTATCCAGGTATAGTGGCTTGGGCAGGGTGGTAAGAGATCAGCGAGCCCATTGCCTTTAGTGTTCTTGGGTGAAGGGACATCCCAGAATTGCTGACTTCCCACCAAGGGGCCCACGGGCCAGTTTTGGCCATCTTGCCATAAGTCCCACACGTCCTCACTCCTAGTACATGAAGAAGCTGCACATGCAGGAGCGGGCTGTGGAGGAGGTGAAGCTGGCCATTAAACCCTTCTACCAGAAGAGAGATGTGACCAAGGAGGAGTATAAGGATATCCTGCGCAAAGCTGTGCAGAAGGTAGGTAGGCTGCCAGCAGGCAGACACGGGCCTTTGGGCAACCTTGAAGTTGTAAGGGACACATTGTGACACAGCTAGATCTGTATGTGACAGATAGTTGCTGTTTCTTGTTTGCATGGACTCCTGGTCTCTAAACGTGGAGTCAGCCAGCTGGGCCAAGTGGCTGAAGCCTTAAATAAGTCCTGTCTCTAGTAAGTGCCCATGCTTGGTTTTTTGTTTTTCGAGACAGGGTTTCTCTCTGTAGCTTTGGAGCCTGTCCTGGATCTCACTCTGTAGACCAGGCTGGCCTTGAACTCACAGAGATCCGCCTGGCTCTGCCTCCCGAGTGCTGGGATTAAAGGCGTGCGCCACCACCACCCGGCTAGTACCCATGCTTGTTAAAACTGAAAAGATGAGGAATTTAAAATTCCCCAGTCCACCCAGTTTCTTTGAAGATCGGAGTCCCTGAGAGATGGGCTGATCTTTCCGTAGGAACAAGTCTCTAGCTTCCTACTGACCTTTGACACATGTAGAGAAACGTCAGCAGCTCTGTTAAGTGTGGTTACAGGTGTGTGTGTGTGTGTGTGTGTGTGTGTGTGTGTGTGTGTGTGAGAGAGAGAGAGAGAGAGAGAGAGAGAGAGAGAGAGAGAGAGAGAGAGAGCGAGAGCAGGGGGCATGTACTCTTAACAAGACCAAGGGGCCAGGGCAAGGGTGCCTGCGTGGGTTGGTCTCTGACAGGTTGAGAGCATTCAGGGTGATGTGTTCTTTCTTGAGATCTGCCACAGCAAGAGTGGCGAAATCAACCCTGTGAAGGTGGCCAACCTGGTGAAGGCCTATGTGGACAAATACAGGCATATGCGCAGGCACAAGAAGACTGAAGCTGGGGAAGAGCCACCCCCTCAGGGTGCTGAGACCTGAGACTGGCCACTGTGGGGAGGCGTCCCCAGTGGAAAAGAAACGGGGCTACCAGCACTCCTGCCTCTGAGCTTCCCATGACACCTGTCTGCACCTGTCTTGCTTACAATTGAAAACTGGACTTTTTTATATGTATATTATAGATACACTGTTTCCATTGTGTTCTAATTTATCAAAAATGGCTTATCTTTAGAAACTTTGCTGTGTATTCAGTGCTTGGAAGGTGAAGCTTTTTTGGTTCCAGAAAGCCTGATAGCCCAGTGGGAAGCTCCTCTATCTGCCCATAGCCGCCTGCCAGCAATAGCAGTTTTCTCACTCTAGTTTACAGGACACGGTGCTGTGGGCCTCAGACTCCGACAGACATGTATCCCACCTTCCCCAGTACACCTGGCACTGTAAGGTGTTCCCGATGCCTGTCTTAGAGCGTTGGTATCCAGGAAGGGGTGCGATAGCTCAAGCCAGATCTTCACTGTCAAGATGAGTGCTGCAAAGGAGGCTTAGTGTGCAGGGATGGGGTGTCAGCTTTCATGGGGCCCCACCAGGTCCAATAAAGAGGTGACATTCAGCTAGGGAGTAAACCTGACTCAGGACAGCACTGGTTCTCGACTCTTTATTGAGTGGGTAGTATTTATGGGCTAGGTCCACTGACCCACCTCCATGAGGAAGTGTTCAATGTCATCGTAGAGACTGTTGGTGCTAGACAGGCACAGGCCAAGACTACTGCTGTCCAGGGAGGACGCACCCTCACGCTGCACACCTTCCAAGTGTGCTTTGCACAGCCATGGCTCCAGCTGTGGAAGAACATCTGTTAGGGCTACCACCCAGCAGCCCACACCCACCTTTGCTTGCCAACCCAGGCTCTACCTTCACCAGAATTAGGCTTTTCTCCTTGGGCCTCCCTGCTGACAAGTCTTGCCCAAATCCCAGGTAGATGGTGTAGTGTGGTGATCCTTGCCGCTTCCGGGTCCGAAACTCTTCCAACTCTGTTAGGAGGTAGCTCTGGTGAGCAGGTTAAGAAAGGCTCCAGGGACCCACAAGGACAGCACCCCAGACAGGCACCTCACTGACCTCTGAAGAAAGTGCTGAAGTCGAAGATTGGGGTATGGCAGTTGCGCTCCAACAGCTGGGCTGGGGTGGAGGGGTTGGTGGAGCCCATGGGGCTGCCCACCTCCCAGTACACCTTGCACTTGCCCATGCGAAGGGCCCACAGTGAAGGCCCCCGCAGCTCCAGCTGAAGGCCTGGAGACACATGCTGCAGAAGTGTCTCTGTGTATTGCAGCTGCTTCTGATCTGGTAGTTCAGCAGGGCTGGGAAAAATCACTGGCTGGGGTGCTGGGTTTATCGCCGAGTTCATGGGGCTATACAGGAACACGCAGCTGGGGTACCCCACCATTGCCTGTAGCACTGTGCGGCCCTTGTACATGATGGTCACATCCAGGAACCCTAGATTGCGCTCTGTGTACAGACCAAGGCTGAGTGGTAGGTATGGGTGGGGCACTTTGTTCCACACCCCAGGACCCATTCACCTCCCACTGAGGTACAGATGTGAGGGATGAGTGGTCCACAGTGTTCTGCCTGGGAGAATAGGTGTGTACCAGGGAAGACCTGTGCTAGCCCCACAGCACTAGCCCACACCAACAGGTCCCCCCAGGTCCTCACCAGTCATCAGAGCTGGGTGTTGAAGCCTGGGGCTGGGGACAGCTTCCACCTGCCATGCTGCATGTGGCTCCGCAGAAGCATGTTCTTGCTTCCCGCCTGAGGACGAGTTGAAACTGCCTGTTGATACTGCCTTCATGGTGCGCTCGCTTCCCGCCCACCCCTGTCATCCTAACATCCTTATCATTCCTCCTCTCTAGGGCTCTGTTGTCCTCTCATACAGCCTCGGCAGGTGAGGGTTCGCTAGTTTAGCCCAGCTCAGTAAAAGTTCTTCCTGCCTCTCACCAGGCTCCTGTGATGGAACTGAGTTTGCCCCAGACTCATATTCCAGTAGGTGGTCCTCCAGGAGGCTGTACTCCAAAACCTGAAGCAAGAGGTCCTCGTTATCACCAGAAAGTTCCCCAGTATCCCCAGAAAGCGGAGGGCTTGGGGTTTGGAGCCCAGCATTTCCTCTTGTGGAGAACGGTCCTAGGGACACACCCTGCAAGAGAAAGTTTAGTGGTAGGCAGTTGCCCATCTCCCACACCTAGAAGGAGCGAACCAGATTGTACCTGTGTGGGTACGGCGTTGCTGAGGGTCACTTCTTCCCTATTTTCCATGGCCCGGCCTTCTGATGGAGAGAGGAGTGGGAATTTGGATCTGAGACTGACCTGCAACCTGGTTATGATGCTTGAGTAGTTCAAAAGTTTTTTTTCCCAGTACCCTTTGTCCCCAAACCACCAAGCATCTCACTCAGCCCAAGGCTCTGACTTAGGAGGAAATGTGCCACCCGCCCACCCACACCTTGGAAGGTGAGCCACTGGGCCTACAATCAGCCTTTTTCCAACCAGTTTTAAAAACCACAAATCCAACCATGAAGCCACCAAGACAGCAGTCCATGTACCACCCCAGCCCATCCCTATTTGTGGCATTCCTCACCAGTAGATCCAAGCTCCAGGCTAAGTTCATACACCTTGTGCGGGTCAGCGGGGTCCCCTGAATTGTCTTGACGCAAGATAAAGCGCCCTGTGCTGTGGAGTGCACAGCGGAAGTTGGTTTTCCAGCCTGCTCGCTCAGCAGCCTCGGCCTCTGGGGATGGCAGGTTACCGCCGCTAGGTGGCCACCTCCCTCGGGCCACAGCCCAGGCCTGAAGGAGAGGACAGAGAACATAGGTTGAGGATGGACTCCCCAGGAGTTCTGGTTATGATGCTTGAGTAGTTCCAAAGGTTTTTTTCCCCTTTGTCCCCAAACCACCAGGCATCTTACTCAGCCCAAGGCTCTAACTTAGGAGAAAATGTGCCACCCACCCACTCACCCGAACCTTGGAAAGAGAGCCACTGGACCTACAATCAGCCTTTTTCCAAACAGTTTTAAAAACCACAAACCCAACCGTAAAGCCACCAAGACAGAGCAGATTATACAGAGGGCAGGACTGGGTACCACCTTAAAGATACGTGCATCAGCTTCGTCCAGATCCTTGCGCCCAAAATGCTTCCAGGGCACACGGAAAACTGTGTGAGCCTCGTCCAGCCACCGAAGGCCCTCATACTGGCCGCTACTGACCTCACCCAGTAGCCACTCTCCGAACAGCATGCGCTGGGGTCCCCTGCAAGCAGGGCAGCAGCGCCAGGATCAGGGCCAAATACAAGGCATACAGGACCCAGCACAAGTAGGGTGGGCATGTTCTCACCTCTCTGTGGCCATTGCTCCTACAAGGACAGTCTGGGAGAATCAGAGTGGTCCAACTCTGTGACAAGTTGTAGCCACTGGAGCAGTCAGCTATTACAAATGAGGTAAGAGTCCCTCGGATGTCACTGATGTTTCAGGTTGTTGCCACAGATAGTGTGGCCAAGTGTCACAAATGTGATTATGTGTGTTGGTCACAAGTGGGAATTTAAGTGTCACAAATGTGACCCAGGTGTAGGGTGTTGAGGGTCACAGATGAGGTTTGAGAACTTGTAGCCACCTAGGTTCCGAACCTAAGTGTGGATTCCTCGGCCAGGGTGGCTATAGATGTGACTACAGATGTAGCGGGAGCGCACACGTGAAGTCACAGGTGTTGATCCAGCGTCCAAGCCTGGATGGGCTGTCTGTCGCAGGCTGGACCCTGCAAAGACACGATGAGAAAAGGGGGCGGGCCCAGGCGAGTAAAGCGAAACTGCATCCCAGGAAAATGAAACCTAAACAGCCTGTGGGCAGCCGCGGGCTTCCCTCTGTTCCAGTGGCTATGGGAACAGTCCTCGGCCTCCACCGAACCCCTACACAGATCCCAACCCCACCTGCAGATCTTCCGATCGCAGATCTTGCCAGACCCTCTGCCCTCAGGTGTCCCCGATCTCTCTGTACTGCCCTTCCCCGATCGCTCGCTACTCCGTGGAGGGGACAAGAATTTCCCCGTGTGGCACTAGCTCGCTCCCTCCCCGCATGGCCTAAGGGTCCCTCATACCTGGTGCCGGAGCCGCCGGGACGGTTTTATCTCAGTGAGAAGGAGACAGCCAGTGCTTTTATAGGACCCGGCTCAGGGGGCGGGACGAAGGGAAACAGGGTGTGGCTTAAGGGCCCTGGACGCCTCTGGGGTGTCATGTGCCCGTGGCCTTCCACTCTCTCGGAGTCACAAGCCTCAGAGAGATAGTAGGAGTAGCAGCCTAGTCTACTTGCAGGGCTCCCTCCACACCTCCTCAGGAAAACACAGCAGGAGAAGGCAGGGGGACCCACAACCGTTCCAAACAAAGTCAGCAACTTTTGTTTGTTTTGTTTAGCTCTCAGGAAAGCAGTGGGAAGTGTAGTCTAAAGAGGATGTGGTACAGTTTGGCTTCACATTGAGAATGGTACAGATAAGACTATTACAGCGGGCGATGGTGGCGCACACCTTTAGTTCCAGCACTCAGTAAGGCAGGCTGATCTCTGTGAGTTCAAGGCCAGTCTGATCTACAGAGTGAGTTTCCAGGACAGCCAAGGCTACACAGTGAAACCCTGTCTCGAAACACACACACACACACACACACACACACACACACACACACACACACACACACACGGAGAGTATTCCAAAGCCAGTATTTGTAGTACCATCTCTGGAGAGGTTGAGTCAGAAGGACCAATTCTTTTGGGTTAAAGAGTAAGACCCTGTCTCAAAATGTAAAATACAGCCACAGATTAGTGTTGTGTCCAGCCTTTGTTAGAGAAGCTTCTAATTGCAAGGAGCAGAACCTGTAACTGGCCCAAGAACAGAGGACAAGTGATGGTGGAGCGTTCACCCTGAACGAGAGAGACCTCTATCACCCCCTGCAAGGCTCAGGGAACATCTCCCAAAAGTAGGAAGAGCCAGAGGATGGAGAGATGTGCAGAAAAAAAAAAAGTCTTCTGAGCATGACATAGCCATTTGCACCTGAACTCACTGCAGCTGTGGTTATCTGCACATGACCTCCATGAGACTGGTCGCATTGACAGCTAGCTCATCATGGCTGTGCGAGGGGCCCAGCGCCCCTCCCCCACTATTGGCAACCATTCGGGTGAGGGGTCTCGTTTATCCAGTGGTTAATTGTCATTGGTCCAGCTGGGTCAAGAAAGTTCTTAAACTCAGAGGGCTGCTGCTCAGAAGATGTGAGAGTAGGGGGGTGACTTGTTGAGAAGGTTTCCAACGAGGGGAAGGGGGGCGTGACCTGCAGGCCCCTGTTTCTCACATCTAAGGTTTCTGTGTGAGGCAGAGGGCAGTGTTCACTGCCAGAGCAGCCTTTTTGTTTGGGTCTTTTGTTTTTGTTTTTTATTTTATTTTATTTTTGTTTGTTTCTTTGTTTTTTGTTTGTTTTTTTGTTTTTGTTTTTCGAGACAGGGTTGAGAAAGGGTTTCTCTACATAGCCTTGGCTGTCCTGGAACTCCGTAGACAGGGTTGGCCTCAAATTCACAGACATCCTCCTGCCTCTGCTTCCCAAATGCTGGGATTAAATGTGTGCCCTACCATGCCTGGCCAGACTTTTGAACCAGGCTGTGACCTCCCAGAGACTACCCTCTCCCAAGTGAATGTACATGTAGCGTGGGCGGTTCTGGTTCTTTCACTTCGCTCAAGCAAAGCTGTGGACATTGGGCCAAGCGCTGACGATCTGACGATCTCCACCAGTGAAGACTTCCCTCTTCCCCGCGGGCTACCGTGGGAGCGGAGCTTGCGGTGTGTGTGTGAAGGGCGGAGGGAGAGGGGACTGAGGACATCCGGAAGCCAGCAGCTGGGCGCTCACAGCAGGTGGTTTACCCCGAGCGCTCCCTCCTTCCCGCGCTTGGAGTGGAGAAAAGGGGACGGAAGGATGGAGTGGGGGAGCAGGAGGGGGCTGGGGATGGGAGGGATGGAGGGCAGGGGCCAGATAACCCGGCTCAAAAAGAGGAGGCATGAGCGATTGGGCTTTGTTGAACGACCTTCCCTGGCACCCGCTCTCGCACACCCGCCTGAAGACTCAGGAATTCGAAAGTGCTACTTTAATTTGCAGAGGAAAAGGGAGTGTCTTGGGGAGGAGGGCCGGGTTGCTGCGCTAGATGTAAGTGCTGTCGTCACCGGCGCCAAAGTGAGGACCCTTATTCTGGTCAGGGCCATCATCATCATCGCTACCCTCACTTCCCGTGGCACTGGCGCTGTCCATGTCTGCTGTGGGCTCGTTGAGGACCACCACGTCAGCCTCCTCCCTGATGTCCTTGCCGAACCAAACTGCTTTGTAGCCGCCCTCCCCCTCTGGCCGCCGCTCCTTAGTCAGGATAGACCTCACGGCGGAAGGACTGTCTCCGGCCTGGACGGTCTTAGGAGACTCGGGAGCTCTGAGCTTGGGGCTCGGAGGTGCTGAGCTGGGGGGCGTGGGTCTGGAGAACATGGGGCTATGGGGCCCAGAGGGCGGCTGGGCGGCCTCGGGGCCTGACTGCGGCTGCGGGTTGGAGGTGGGCGACCAGCTGGCCTTGTGGTCTGGGAGGAAGGTCACGTTGTCATAGTCATTCGGCGGCGGCGGCGGCTCCTACAGGCGCAGCAGGAGCAGAGGCCTTAGCAGCAAGCAGTGCTGTTGCTCCCGCCAGGACCCTCTTCCCACCACTTGGCTCCCACTCCTCCTCTGCCCCCCCTCCCCCGCCTCCCGCTAGTGTCCGCACATCCATCCCAGCCTGACTCCGCTGCTATCCCCAGCTGTTCCCATTCATCCCTCCCTCCATGTCCCTTCCCTGTGACTCCTCAGCCCTGGGTTAGTCCCCTTTCTGCTCTGACTAGCCCAGTACCCCACCGAGGCCCTTACCGAAGCCTTGCCAGAGCAACAGTTGAACCGATGACCGTAGTGCTTATGGATGAGGATGACCAGGCAGATGAGAGCCAGCAACAAGAGTGCACCTAGCACCCCGCCCAGCACTGCCATGTCCACCGTGGAAAATCGCTGGCTGTCACCCAGCTCGCCTTCTCCGGGTGTCCCTGTCCAAGACACCATGACCGCTTACTGTGGGAACACTCCTAAAGCACTTCCCTCTCTAACCTGGGCCAGTCTGAGGCACCACGAAAACGAGACAAGCATGACCTGACCCACCCACCCCCTAGAGCTGAGGTTCTGAGAATGGGTGTTGTGAACTCCCCCAGGGAGGCTGCCTGGGGGTACCAAGGCCCCTGGTGGCATGGCTGCCAGCTTCTGATACATCAGGATGGCCTTCAAGGGCACACTGTCAACAGTTGAATGTGGACATTGTCTTCTGTGGCTTCAACTCCAATTATGAATATATATTGCGCTCGACCAGAAGCAGGGCTCAGTGACGCTTGACACAGTTTTTAGAGAACACTCATGAGAAGTCTGCCATGTAAAACTGCCTCTGGTGGCCATCCAGACTAACTGTGTCTGGCCCTTGTGATCCTGCACCCTGAAGGGGTGTGTGGGTACAGCTCAATGATCAGTACAAAAACCTTTCGGTGGGAACCTCATATGTGTGTGTGTGTGTGTGTGTGTGTGTGTGTGTGTGTGTGTGTGTGTGTGGTGTGCACTGTGTGTTTTGTGTGTATGTGTATATATGTGTGTGTGATGTTTTATTCATGTAGTGTGTGTGTTTGTGTTGGTGCTGCATGCATGTCATGGTGCATGTTGTAGTCAGAGCTGGCCATGTAGCTGGCTAAGCTGTCTGGTCAGGGATCTCCAGGGTTATTCCTGTCTCTGGCTTCCCAACACTGGATTGTAAGTGCACGCCCCCACGCTCAGTTGTTTTATGTGGGTTCTGGGACCAAATTCATGTCCTCATGCTTGGAAGGCAAGTACTTTTACCGATGAGTCATCTCCCCAATCTTGATTTTGTGTGTTTGTGTGTGTGTGTTTTGTGTTTTTGTTATGTTTTGTTTTTCTGTAGTATTGCCTCTATATGTTGCCCAGGTTAACCCTGAATTCCTAGGCTTAAGTGATCCTCCTGCCTCAGTCTCTCCATTAGCTGGGATCACAGGCATGCACCACTACATCCAACCATAATTATTATTTTTTCTTCTTCTTCTTTTTTTTTTTTTTCAAGACAGGGTTTCTCTCTATAGCTCTGACTGTCCTAGAACTCGCTCTGTAGACCAGGCTGGCCTCAAACTCAGGGATCCGCCTGTCTCTGCCTCTCAAGTGCTGGGATTAAAGGTGTGCACCACTGCCACTGGTTCATAATTATTTTTCTAAAGATAAGTTCTCTGTGTGTAGCTGTGTCTGGGCTGGAATTCACTATATGGACCAGGCTGGCCTTGGACTCACAGAGATCTGCCTTTCACTACCTCCCTAGTGCTGGAATTAAAGGGTTACATTAGCACAACCTGATAGCCATAAAATCCTAATTTTTATCTTGTACCTCCCTAATTATTGGCCCTAAATATAGATTATCCTGGGAATTATGGGACTCACTGGCTCCAAAATCTGCTGCTGTATCCCCATACCTTCTTCAGCTCACCCCATTCTGCCCCCCTGGAGCCATCTGCTGGGACTAGACACAGACTCCTTGGAGGTGGCCAGTGTGGTCAGGCCAGGTTAGCCTGGGTGGACCCTGTCCTAGAGCACATCCCTGGAACCCCTGGCTGAGTTAAGGGTGATAGTGACTCGAGGGCAAACAATGTGTGGACTACCTGAGGGTGAGGGGTTCCTGACGGACGTAGTGGCTGTCGGCTGAGAGGTTCCTGGTTTGGGGGTCTGTGTTGAGCCTCCACTGGGTGTAGCTGGCTGAGAAGAGGTGCTTGTTCCTGTAATGGGGACCATTGGCTGAGGGTTCCTGGCTGGGGGGTCTGTGTTGAGCCCTCACTGGGTGTGGCTGGCTGAGAAGAGGTACTCATACCTGTAATGGGGACCACTGGCTGAGAGGTTCCTGGTTTGGGGGTCTGTGTTGAGCCCTCACTGGGTGTGGCTGGCTGAGAAGAGGTGCTTGTTCCTGTAATGGGGACCACTGGCTGAGAGGTTCCTGGCTGGGGGGTCTGTGTTGAGCCCTCACTGGGTGTGGCTGGCTGAGAAGAGGTGCTTGTTCCTGTAATGGGGACCATTGGCTGAGAGGTCCCTGGCTGGGGGGTCTGTGTTAAGCTCTCACTGGGTGTGGCTGGCTGAGAAGAAGTACTCATACCTGTAATGGGGACCACTGGCTGAGAGGTTCCTGGCTGGGGGGTCTGTGTTGAGCCTTCACTGGGTGTGGCTGGCTGAGAAGTGGTACTTGTTCCTGTAATGGGGACCATTGGCTGAGAGGTTCCTGGCTGGGGGGTCTGTGTTGAGCCCTCACTGGGTGTGGCTGTCTGGGGGGAGGTGCTGATTCCAAGAGTAGGGAACCCCCCAGGTGTAGATGAGGCAGAGGCAGGGGGACTTAGAGTTGTGCCTGAGGGTGGAAATGGGCCAGCACTTCCCCCAGAGCTGGTTGTAGCAGGTCCTTGAGAGGTCCCAGAGGTCGTGGGGGTTTCCAAAGTGGTGCTACTTGAAGGCCCAGTTGTTCCTCCAGCTTCTGGGGGTGTGGGGGACTCTGGGGGTGGCATGGACAGAACTTGGGTTTGCCTGTGTCCTCAAATATGCCTGTCCCAGAGGAGGAGCCACCCTGCTTGGGGGCCCTGGGGCTCACCTGTGGAGGGGGGCTCCTGCCCTGACACTTGGATCTCAACAACAGAGGTGGCTGTGTCCTTAGTCACAGTACTGGTAGCTTCTACCTGGGTCAGGAAAGGAGCTTGTTCCTCTTGGGTCCCTCTTTACCCCACACCTTTGATTCCCTTATTCCCCACTCCACCTCTACATAGATGACTTCTGCACGCTTCATAGCCACAGTGGTCACTATGACATCCTCGTCCATCTTGAAATCTGAGGAGTTGGTGATTTGATATGTGATGGCCGAGTTGAGGTCCTAGGTGAGACTGCAGTGAGACCTGGGCTTGGGTGCCCTACTGTCCATCCCAAGCTGCCCACACAGAGAACCAGAGTCCAGGCACACTTAGAGAGTTCCTAGGTGGTCGGGAAGGGACTGCATACCGGGAAGCCTGAGTACTGAGCCTGGATCCTCAGGATCTCAGAAGGGGAGGTCCTGTCCTTCACTTCTGTACCAGCCTCAGCACCAAGCACCACTGTGCCATGGTACAGGCTCTGAGAGAACTGGAGTTCTCCGCCACGGGCCTCCACAATGGCCTGGGTCATTGAGTAGCGGGCCATATCAGTCTGATCAGCCTGGGGAGTCAGGGGAAACAGGAGTGACTAATGGGACTCATTGGAGCTGGGCTGCAGCTGGGGTTCAAGGGAACACAGGAGACCCATCTGTCATCCAGTACTGGTACCCACCCTGACCAGCAGGGTGAAGCTCATGGGGCTGGGGATACTTTTGGCCATCGTGAGGTTGCCAGAGTCTGCGTTGATGATAAATGTGTCGTCCGTGTTTCCTGGGAGAATTCGGGATGGAGTTTGGCGTCTGGTCCCTCTGTTGTAGGGTCCAGGTGCTGTGGGGCTAGCCCTCACTCACCCGCTACAATGCTGTAGATGATAGGCTGGTTAATGCCCTGATCTCCGTCCACAGCATAGATGGGACCAGGACTCAAGATGAGGGGGGATGGCTGTGGGGATAGGGATATCTTGAGGTTGAATGACCCCAGTTCTTACTCTTTTGTTGTCCCTCAAGGCCTGAAACATGAATTGGAGCATGGGGGCAGGGGTAGTGCCTGCTTGGGGCAGAGCTGCAACCACAGCGGGGCTCAGTGGCAGCGAGAACTTAGGAAGGAAGACTTGCAGCCTCCATGTGTGCCTCTCTGCCCAGTGGGGGCTGTGGTAGCCTTGGCTGGACCCCACCTGCCCAGTAGGCTCTCTAGCCTCAGGAGACTGTCAGCTGGGCAAGGATGTGGCAGTCCCATCAGCCCAGCCCCGACGTCCTCCCATCCCAGCTGACATCACTGATTTGTGTCTGTGTGTTGCCCACCTAAGGCTGGGATAGTTAATGAATGATTATTCATTCACATTAGTTTCAAAAAAAAAAAAATCACAAAATTGCCTAAACCACTCAAGAAGCACAGGACCACTGCTGGATCCCTACCCTAAACTTCCTCTGACTTGGCTCTGGATTCAAGTCAGACTCTGGGCTTTCTTACTCCCCATTACCAGTATGTGTCCAGTGGGGACCACCCCATGGTACTGCGCCTGGATGCAGAAGTAGCCATCTGAGAAGGAGCAAGGCAAGAACCAGGGGGTTCGCAGGTCAGCCGGAAGCACGTTCAGGACCAGGGTGGCAGTGGCCGTGTGGCTGAGCTGTGCCTGTTCATCCCAAGTATCCTGTAGTAACAGCCAGCCCTGACAGGTCAGGCCCACGATGGCTTGGACAGGCCAGACTATCCAGGACTCAGGTAGCTGTGATCTGCTTACCCGTGCCAGCAGCTTGAAGGTCATGTTCTGAATTTTGTAGAAATCCAGGGCCTGCTGCAGCCTCAGAGCAGGGTTGTTTACCCCCACGAGGGAGAAGAAGCTGCTAGCGTTCTGAGAAGGGGGAAGAGGGCGCAACATGAGACTCTGGAAGGTGGAAGAACTGAGGCCTGGCGGCATCAGAAGGGAGGGGTCAATAATGAGTGGGGACAGGAAAAGCACTGACCGGGGTCACTTCTTGGAGGGTGTAAAATAGGGTGTCATCTTTATCAGCGTCTTTGGCCTCCAGTTCTGTCTCGGGGATGACGGTTGTGCCCACTCTGGTGTCCTGGGGATGGAGAAGAGGTCGATCCAGCCATGCTGTGGCTTCTGTCTATATGAGTCTCCCTGATGGTGTCCCCCAGACACCTCCCTGTCCCCCTTCCTTCTCTGTACTCAGAAGCCGCCTGCTCTGGCTCCACTGGACTTACCTCTGCTACATCATAGCTCTTGACTGTAAAGGGAAACACTGGGGGATTGTCATTGACATCCAGGACAGCCACGAACACCCTCAACACTGTCACCTGCAGAAAAGTCAACAAAGTCCGCCCCCGGCTGAGGAACTATGCTCTGATGCCCCCATCATTAATTCCTCCCTCCTTTACCAGTTCATTCATTCAGTCACTCTTCTGTTCTTTCATTCAACAGACACTGGTGACATCAACAGTGCAGCAGTCTGTGGACCCCTGTTCTAGGAGGGGCTCAGACTATATATATAAACAAAAACAAAAACCAGCCGGGCGGCGGCGGCGCACGCCTTTAATCCCAGCACTTGGGAGGCAGAGCCAGGTGGATTTCTGGGAGTTCGAGGCCAGCCTGGTCTACAGAGAGAGATCTAGGACAGGCACAAAACTACACAGAGAAACCTTGTCTCAAAAAACAAAACAAAAAAAACTAAACTACATTTTAGAGTGTGGCCACGTGTGTGTGTGTGTATGTGTGTGTGTGTGTGTGTGTGTGTGCGTGTGTGTGTATGTGTGTGGTGAGTGTGCTGAAGAGAAATAAGGGGGCAAGCCTGGGGACACGCCAGCAAAACATCATCAAAGGAAGAAAACTGAGCTGTCTCACAGCCTCAAAAACAGGTCCCCAAGAGAACAACAGAGAAAGGAGCGTCAGGTTAAAAATCACCCGGCTGTATCCCATGGGAGAGACCTTCCTGGGACCCAAGGAGAGGTGAACACAGCCAAGTGCTGGAGGACAGAGAGGAAAAGGCTGCTCTTCTCCAGTGACAGATGTCAAGGCCGTGGTCGCTATGTCTGTCTGTCTGTCTGTCTGTCTGTCTGTCTCTCTCTCTCTCTGTGTCTGTGTGTCTGTGATGTGCATTTGTGTGTTGAGGGTGGAGCCCAGGGCCTCAACCATTACTCGGCAGGCACCCTACCACAAAACTATACCTAAAAATGAAGTTTATTTATTTAATTATTATCTATTAGAGACATGAGCTGAGATATGTGTGGGTAACATGTCATGGTACAGGGTAGGAGTGCAGGGTGTGAGAGTCGCTCTTGATGGAGCAGAAAGTGTGTGGGGCCTGTTATATCTGCAAGTTTCCTTTAGTAAAAGGCTGAAAATATGGTATAGTCTGAGGGCTGAGGGCGAAGATGTATGGGATAGGGTAGGTGGACAACGCAGAGTAGGAGGGTTAGGCATCCCCTGAGGAGATGACGTTTCCATGCTGACCTGAGCAGGCATGAGGAATGTCTACCCTAGGCCAGTGTTTGCATACCCTAGCCTTGCCCGCCCAGCTGTGAAATTAGCTTTGAGTTCCAGTAAGAAAATGTGGAAGTTTCTGCGTGAGGCTGGACAGGGTCTGGCTGTCCCTCTCTAGGGACTCACTGAGTGGAGCAGGGATTGAGGAGGGCCAGGGACATGAAAGCAGTAAGTGCATCTGCTGGAAGGGTCAGAAAGGAGGTGTGTTGATCGAAGCCCCATGGGACTCGAGGTGGGAAGAGAACGTCTGACTCTGAGGCACAGCCAACCGAGTACCTTGGGTGGGGTGACAGAAAAGTGGGCTGAGAGGCTGGGGTGAAGGTGTCTCCCAGGCAAGGGTGAGGGGCGGACTTGCGGTCTGAGTGTTGACTTAATACACGGCCCTGAGTTAGCTGAGTTTGAGTCTAGAGCTCAAGGCAGAGTCTGGGCTCAAAGAAGTGTGGGTACAGTGGCCAGCAGAGAGCTCGTGTCCAGACTCCATGGGGTGAGGTCCTGGAGGAGTGGTCTTGAGGTACTCGGACAGAGGGCAGGGGTGGTCAGATAATGGAGCTGACTTACCGGAACCTCTCCTCTCTTGCACTCCAGGACTGCCTCCAGTGATGTGGTTTCCTGAGGAGGAAGCCAGTGCCCGATGAATCAGCTGCCCCATAGGAAATAGAGTGCCCTAGGCTAAGAGAGTGCCACAAGCAGAGCCCATACTTCTCCAGGGCCCCTGTCAGTCACCAGCGGCAAATCCTGGGTGTAGGGGGCATCTGACAACTTTGTCCCCAAATGGTCCTACCCCTCAGTACCAACCAACCAAGCACTGGGCCTGAAGGTACTCCTCACTACCTGGGAGACATAGAGCCATTAACCCCTCCTCCCCTGAATCGTTTCCAGGGTAGGGGAGTGGGTGCTCATGTATGTCCCCATGGGGCACATTCCATCCAGCCTATAGACTGTACCTCATAATCTGGAGTCACGTTGAGAAACAGCTGATTGTCCACGATCTTAAATGCGAAAGGAGTGGATGAGGATCCCAGGGTCACCCGCAGGTCTCCTGGGACCGAAATGTTCACCAGTGGCTCAGAAACATTCGAGTTCTCCTCCACTTGAAAAACCGTTTGGTTCACAGAGCAGACTAGAAAGTTGTAAAGGAGAAGTTGGTGCCTTCCACCCAAGCTCTGCTGCCTACCCGTCCTGCCCCTGTCCAGCACATACCTTGGGCCTTGGTCCCCGGAGTTTGGCCAAACAGCACTATGAACAATGGTAATAGCAGTGGAGGCCACAGGAGGGCCGGAGCCCCCATGGTGGCAGCTGTCACCTGGAAGAAGGGTCCAGCTGCCTTCTTGTTCCAGGGCTGGTACAGTTCCTGCCTTGGCGACCTTCGCCCCTGCCAGGCACCGCCTCATTTTATGACTCTTTACTGATGGCCTCTACCAAGGGGGCTCCCGCTGGCCGGCACTGAGAGGGGACATGAGGTCATATTTCAGCCTGGACTTCCAGGAAGTTAAGTGGGGACTCAACCCATAGACACTACACATGAGGTGTAAAAAACATGAGAACCACTGGGCGTGGGGAATAGGCCTGGTAAAGCTAGGACAAGGCTGGGGCCGTAGGTCTAAGGAGGCTGAGTCAGGGCTGAGGAGCTAAAACCATTCATAGATCTGGGGAGCTGAGGCAGGCCTGTGGGGGCGGAGCAAGGCTGGGGGGAGCTGGGGCAGGGCTGGAGCACCAGGGTACTGGGAAGGGCTGGGTGAGCTGGAATAAGGCTGGAGGAACTGAGGAGGGATAGAAGGAGCTGGAGCAGGCCTGGGGAGCTGGGGGCAAGGCCAGGGATGTGGGCTGAGTCACTGGGTCTTGGGTCTACCGTAACCCACATCAGGATAACCCCTCATCTTGTCTCTTTCTCTTAGTGTCTTTCAGCAAAATTCCTGAAGCCACATTATGTTGCCTCCCTTTCCTGTTCCACTCCCAAAGGAAAAGACTGGATCCCAGATGCTCCAGGTAGGGCCTGGCCGGGCCTGGCCGGGCCTTGGTAATAGGATGCAAATGAAGCCTTCCTGCCTTAGCTGGGAGCTGGTGTTGAAGGGGGGGTGGGGGGAGCAGTATCTGATGGAAGACAGGAATCCTGGTGAACACACAGCCCAGGGCTCCATTAGACCTATTCCAGTCTTTCTCGCTTCCTCCCCTCTCTCCTACAAGCCCTCAGAGCTGGGGAGAGGCCTCTAGGTAGAGCCAGGAGGGTGGTGGGCGGTGCTGTGCTGAAAGGGCCTGGAGCCCTCACTACTCTGGGCCTCTACAGGGCTGCTCTGGATGCCTGAGAACCTTCCTGAGGCTCTCATGACCCTTCCAGTGGTCCCACAGCTGTCTACTGGGAGATGACATCACTATCCAGGCTTCAGGGCTGTGCCAAGACCACACAGACATGTAGAGCCAGGATGGACGCAGGTCCTTCCACTCATGCCTGTGCCTCCCCACCATTCCATGTACCCTCACCACACGGCTGGACAAGGGCTGGGATCTCTGATCCCTGGAAATTTTGCTAAGTGGACCACAGGGCAGGCTGGGAAAAGAGGAGTCCAGTTGATGCCAGAGATAAGGAAGAAATATCCTAGCTGACCTCCCAGGTTCAAAGAGCAACTGGGTGTGGTCCTAGCCATTGAATGAGGGCGGATGGACATGTCCACACCTGCCAGGCTCACTGAGCAAGAACTGTCTTGTTTTTTTTATCAGACATCACACACCATGAGCTAAAAGACCAGGGTCTAAATTCCTTCTTTATTGATACCAAGGACAACCAAACCCTAGCTCCAGCCAGCTCCTGGAGACTCCCCTTCCTCCCTCATCAGGGCTGCCTGGTTGCTTCAGTCCACTCCGAGACTTCAACAGCAGGCTTTGGTCCAGGAGGCAGCCAGGGAGACCAGGACCCATCCAGGGGAAGCCTGGGGAGCAGCCTGTGGAGGGAGGTAGGTGATTAGGGGACTAGGACTGACCATCAGAATGCATGTGTGTACCCACATGGCTCGGGAACAGGAAGGGTACTTTAGGAGTCCAGCTGAGGATGGAGTGCTCACCAATTCTGTAGGGCCTGAGTGTTCGACCACAGCAAGCAGAGCTGGTCCTCTGAGGGCTTGGACCGTGCCAGGCTGTTCTCTGGGATATTTTCTGTGTCCTGCTCACTGCCCCCCACCCCCAACCCAAATTAGAATTAGTGGTAGTACTGGGATGCAGCGGGTTGCTGATAGGGGACCATACCAGGCCTGTCCCATACCAGCAAGTCTGGAGAGTTCTACCTACACCTGCTCACCTGCGCTTCCCCACAAGACCCTGCAGCAGGCGCTGCAGCCTGGCGCTGTCCTGCAGGCGACTGAGCTCGCTGGTGAACGTCCCGTCTGAGTGTCTTGGGATCCTGGGGAGGGGCGGGGCGAGGAGGGTCAGAGTACGACAGTGTGGGCCTGTGGGCGTGGCTGTGCTGTAGTGGATCCCCCTGACCCAGCTCACCTGGGGGGCGCAGGGAGTGCGGCCGAGCCAGCGAGCAGCAGCAGCAGCAGCAGCAGTAGCGGTGGGGTGGGCATGGTCGGGTTCCGTGTGTGCTGAGCGCTGCAGCTGCAGCCTGAGCCCCGCGCCCCTGCTTTATAGCTGCCCCGGGGGGCTCCAGCACCGCCCTGGCTCCGCGCGGCCGGCCGCGCCCCATTGATTGCGGGAAGGTCAGGGCCGCCCCCCCAGCTGTCGTCCGGCCACCTCCTGTCCCCACCGCCGCGTTGGCGCCCCTCAGCTGGCTGGGCGGGGGGAGTAGCTACTAGGTAGCGAACTGGACACCTCCATCTGGGACCAGGGGCAGTGAACAGGGTTTGGCGGTTCAGAACAGGCGGAGGGAATAGCACTGCGAGGCCTCTCGAGCCTCAGTTCGTACTGGCGCCCAGCCTAGACCAAGACCTTGGAGCACTCTTCTTGGGAAGGGCCTGTGGGTGTCTTGAGAAGCCTAGGAGGGCCCAGTGGACAACTGACAGGGAAAAGAGACCAGAGTCCTAGATCCTGGAGAAGCCAGGGCATGGGGAAACAAACGGATGCAGCGTACTGCCTGAAAGGGCAGCCCAGCACCCAAAGCAAAGATGGGAATCCTCTTAGGCCCTGAGGTTGCATTTTTGGATGGGAGAAAACAGCCTATTCATGTTGGAAGCAGGAGGTAGAGATGGGTTAGAACAAGCAAAAAGCAGGCCTTAGAGGTTGTAGGAGAATGGGGAGGAGGAGTTCTGGGTGGGGATTGATGAAAATAGGCTTGCAAAAACCTCATCCCTGGAGTGGGGGACCTTAGTGCTAGAACACTTGTCTAGCATGGTTCAACCCAGCGCTGAAACCCAAGATGAAAAGACAATCCTTAAAATCAAATTACAGGAGACAGAGGAAAGTGGATCTCTGTGAGTTCGAGGCCAGCCTGGTCTACAGAGCGAGTTCCAGGACAGCCAAGGCTACACAGAGAAACCCTGTCTCAAAAAACAAACCAACAAACAAATCAAATTACAAACCTAGCAAACTGTTATGAACTAGCTCTTGAGTAAAAATCATGTGGGTTTTTTTTTTTTTTTGTGTTGTTGTTGTTATTGGGAATGTTTTGGTTTGGTTTGGTTTTTGGAGACCTTGTATATAGCTCAGGCTGCCTTTGAACTCACTATATAGCCCATGTTGGCCTGGAATCCTCAGCAATCTTCTTGCCTTAGCCTCTCAAAAGCAGAGATTGAAATCAGGGACCACCAAGTCCACCAGCTCTGCTTGTATTTTGAGGGGAGGGATTAGGTTTTGAGCTTTGGAGTTCTTTGCTTTGAATCTTTGAGACAAGGTCTTATGCAGCCCAGGCTGGCCTCGAGAATTTGTTACATTGTTTAGGATAGCCTTGAACTTCAGCTCTTCCTGACAGTGTTCCTGGAGTTCCGGTATTGTGGGTGTGCAGCACCATGCCTGGTTTTATGCGGTGCTAAGAATGGAACTTAGGGCTTCACACATGCCAGGCTGGCACTCGGTTAAATGAGCTCTCCACCCCCAGCCCTCCACACGAGACTTTAAAAACGGTTAGTAGACTTTTTTTGTTTTTTAGAGACGTTTTCAGTTTACAGAAAAACTGAACCGAAAGCATGGCATTCAGTTCCCCAATGCCCCTCACATACTCCTTCCACCCAGAATCCCCTTTTGTTAAGAAGTGGGGAGTAGGAGGGAGGTATTGGAACTGTGGTTAAGAGAGCATACTGCTCTTGCAGAGGACCTCAGTTCAGCTCCCACACCCACACAGGGTGGCTCTCAACTGCCTGTAACTCCAGCTCCAGGGGAGCTGATGCCTTCTAGCCTCTACAAGCACTGCGGTCATACTCCCCACAGGCACACAAGTACACACAGAAACAAACAACACACTTTTTTTTCTCCAGACAGGGTTTCTCTGTGTAGCCCTGACTATCCTGGAATTCACTCTGTAGATCAGGCTGGCCTCGAACTCAGAGATTTGCCTGCCTCTGCCTCCTGAGTTCTGAGATTAAAGGCGTGCGCTGACACTGCCCAGCTATTAAAAAGGGTGGAAGGAAGCAGCCAGATCTCAACACTTAGGAAACAGGTACAGACAGATCTCTAAGTTTGAGGTCAGTCTGATGGACAAAGTGAGTCAGAGCTACACAGAGGAACACTGTCTGGAAAGAAACAGCAACAAAAAGGGGGGGCGCACTAGTAACACACTTATACCTTAGCTTTGGGGAGTCAGAGGTGGGAAGAGTGCAAGCAAGCTTCAAGCCCAAAGGGCTACATGACGAGACCCTTAAAAGTAAACAAAAGTGCCGGGCCGTGGTGGCACACGCCTTTAATCCCAGCACTTGGGAGACAGAGGCAGGCGGATCTCTGTGAGTTTGAGGCCAACCTGGTCTACAAAGCGAGTTCTAGGACAGCCAGGGTTGTTACACAGAGAAACCCTGTCCCAAAAAAACAAACCAACAAAGAAAGTAAACAAAACACTCTGGCACTAAAGCGGTTCATTTGTCACAGTTTCTTTGTGTAGCCCTGCCTGGGCGTCCTGGCTGGCACTTGTTCTATAGTCCAGGCTTAGCTCTGTAGTCCAGGCTGGCCTCAAACTCACAGAGATCAATCTGCCTCTGCCACCACCCACCACTCAGTGTGAACCATGGTCAACAGAGCAGTATCATCAAGGCCTGCAGTTCTCACCAGGGGCCACTTTGGGGGTTGTACATTCTTGGACAATGTAAACTGCGTGGATCCAACACCACATATCAAAAAGAGTCATAGCCCTGAAAGTTCCTTGTGGAGCCTTCTTCCCCCTGCCCTCAGACTCCTGATCTTTTCACTGATGCTGGTGGTGGTGCCTGTTCCAGAGCGTCAGGGCTGGAAGTATAGGTTGTATCCTTTTCACAACGGCTTCTAAATTTTTGTTTGTTTGTCTATTTTGTTTTGTTTTTTTGATTTCGAGACAGGATTTCTCCGTGTAGTTTTGGTGCCTGTCCTGGATCTTGCTCTGTAGACCAGGCTGGCCTGGAACTCAGAGAGATCCACCTGGCTCTGCCTCCCTAGTGCAGGGATTAAAGGCATGTGCCACTGCCGCCCCGAGGCTTCTAAATTTTAAAGACTACATTAGCTTGTTTGTGTGGTTGGGTAGGTGGGTGGGTAACATGGAAGTGAGAGGGCAGCTTTTAGGAGCTGGCTTTCTCCTTCCTCCTTGTGGGTTCCAGGAATCAAACTCAAGGCAGGCTTGACAGCAAGGGCCTTTACCCACCGAGCCACCTTGCCATTCCCACACTGGCTTCTTTCATTTGGCAATAATCATTTACATCTCCTTTGAGTCTTTTCATGGCTCAGTAGCTCAATTCTTTCTAGGGCTTAGCAAATGTTCCACTGTCTGAATGGACTAGTGTGTTTATCCACTCACCCAGTGAAGGACATTTGCGTTGTTTCCAAGTTCAGGCAACTATAAATAAAGCTGCTATAAATGTGTGTGTGTGCATGTGTGTGTGTGCCTCTGTGTGTGTGTGTGTGTATGTGTGTGTGTGTGGTGTGTTAGAGCCACAGACACAGCTCAGTGGTACAGTGCTTGCCCAGTGTCACGAGGGTTCAGTACTCAGGACTGCAGGGGGGGAAATCCTCTGGCAGTCCTGACCAATGGAACCATAGAAATTACGCTAGAATCAAATCCCTGAGTAAATAGCAGGAGGAAGAAGACAGGTGGCTGGGGAGCAGTGACCTGCAAGAACAGTGGTAGGCAGGAGGGAGTCCTCTGCCAGCCAGGCATCCTGATGTGCACAGGGCCTCATCGGGAAGATAGTCAGGCCAGGGGGAGGCAGTAGGACAATGGGGACCGCCCTGCAAGGGCCATTACAGCCTGAGGTCAGAGAAGGGTGACAGAGCCGGTTGAGGCTGTGTTTAGAAAGGACTTAAGAAGGACCCTGAGAGCTGAGCGTGATGGCCTATGCTTCTAATCCCAGCAGATTGGAGGCATTAGACTGGGAGGCAGAGACAGGAGGGTCTCTGTGAGTTTGATGCCAGCCAGAGCTACAAAAAGAGACCCTGTCTTGAAAAACCAACCAACCACGCAAACAAAACCAAAAAGGAACCTACTGTGGCCTGGCATGGTGGTACACGCTTTTAATCCCAGCACTCAGGAGACAGGCATGTGAGTCTCTGTGAGATCAAGGCCAGCCTGGTCTGTGTAGAGAGTTTCAGCTAGGGCTACACAGAGAGACTGTCTCAAAACAAAAACAAACACCAGCAAGAAGTGGAGAGAGGGATGCCTCGACTGTTTTCTTCCATGTTCCTGACAGGCTGGCCTGATTACCAGAGGGACTAATCACCTTCCCCAAATGTTTCTCCTTCCAGCTGGTATTTGGCAGCAGCTGATGACAGAATAGTTCTCAGCAGGCGCTGGAATCTGAGGCCTGCAAGGATGGGGAGTAGAGGTGAGGTCTGTGCTCCCCGAAGAGCCTTGCCCAGGAAGGCACACAGATGCTCCTAGCAATTAGCTTCCTGGGGCACAGCAAAGATGCAGAAAAATAACTGCCACCTCAATGCACCCCTCAAGAAGGGCCAGGTGGCCAGGTGTGGTGACCTGATGCCTGTAAACACAGAACCTGAGAGACAGGAATAAGATCTCTGCAAGTCCAAGACCAGCTTGGGCTACATATCCGACCTCATCTGAAAAAGTAAAGGACAGGCTAAGTGGTGGGTCCACCTTGTGGGAGACTTCTTATGAATGGTCTGCCAAAGCTCTGTGCTGCCAAGGAAGGGAGCCCAGGCTGAGGCAGAGTACGCTCTGGGCCATGTTGTTGGAGTTATAACGGTTCAGCAGCACTGGAGATGGTCAGTGCCCGTGGTCTGAATGGCACAAAACCCTCACACTGGCCAGCAGTGTCTAGTGATGTGCAAGGGCCACACAGCCATGAAGCAGTCGGAAGTCCACAGGTGGCAGTGACAGCTGTTGGGAACTTGCACATCACCCGAAAACTAGCCGTTCAACTGGATTCTCTTAACCAAATGTAGCTTCTGGTCTTTCCTACAGATGAAGATGGGCATCTCTCATATGGGCTTATGAAGCCTCACGGTCCCTAGTCACCAACTCAGTGTCCTTCCTGAGGCCAGCAATCCCAGGGATGCTTTCTGTCTGCGGTTTACATCAACTCTTGTCCACTTCAGAACAGCTTGGAGCACAGGGGGAGCCAGGCCCTGGTACATCAAGTCCACCAGTCCACAGAACGCATACGCCCGGTTGTCAGGAAGGTCACACCTATGTTTTCCACATCCATGCCTTTCCCCCAATGCTTATCATGTTCATATGCATGAGGATAGACTGCAAGGCTGACCAGAACCTAGCTTCTGGTTAAGGGTTGTCACGGGTGTGCTGCTCTTTAGGGACAAGAGTGATGACATTGGTGTCACCCTTTTCTTTTTTCTTCTTATTTTTCTTTTTGCCTTTTTTGAGACAAGGTTTCTCTGTGTAGCCCTGGCTGTCCTGGAACTAGCTCTGTAGACTAGGCCGTCCTCGAACTCAGAGATTCAACTGTCTCTGCCTCTCGAACTGCTGTCCTTGGTCTTCCGACATGAAATAATGATGGTTGGGACTCTCAGGTTGCTGGCTCGGCCTGTCCCAGTCTGGATAAATTACAACTCCAAGGGGTTGTTGCATTATAGGCCATGTGTATGTGCATGTGTGTATGGTGTGCAAGTATATATGCATGTTTGATGTGTCTGAACACATGTATGAGTGTGTATGCATGTGGGTGCTTGTAGTTGGAGGCCTGAGGTTGGTGTTAGGAATTAACCTTGATCACCCTTCTGCCTCATTCACTGAGGCAGGGTCTTTCAGTCAACCAGAGCTTGCCAGTACGACTATTCTCACTGGACCGCTTGCCCCGTCTCTGTTTCCCATGGCTGGAGTTACAGCCACTCACTGTATATTTACGAGGTTTCTGGGACTCTAAAGTTAAGTTCTGCTCCTCACATTTGTGCAGCAGCCCTTTACCCACTTAGCCATCTCCCCAGACACCCCATCCTAGGCCTCTTCCCAGCCCCCACCGGTCCCCCACCTCCCCACTTATTTCCATCATTTATCTTGTCCTAATGAGTAAGAAAACGTTTCACATTGTCCTCTCCATTCCCCCATGTTGACCCAGGGCCAAGGCATTGGACATGCTAGATAAGTACTTTACCAGTGAGTCACATTCCCAGCCCTTAGTGATTTGAGACAGGGTCTTCCTGTGCAGCCCAGGCTGCCCTTAGACTTATAATCCTCCTGCCTCTGCCTCCTGAATGCTGGACTCAAAGGTGTGTGTCACCACACCCAGTTTAGGGTGGTAGATTTTTGCAAAACGCTTTTTCTAATTCAGTTGAGATGACAAGGGTCACATCATGTCTGTGTTTAATTAATAAAATGGGACTTGAGCCCCTGTGGGGGCTTTCTTTGTTCTATTAATATGGAGTGTTATATTGGTTGTGTTTCATCGATAGAATTCTTTCAGTCCTGGGAAAAATCCTCCTGGGTCATGGTGCATAATCCTTAAAAATTGCAGTGGGATTTTGCTGAGAATTTTTTTTAAAGACGTGTCTATTTTTATTTTATGTGTATGAGTGTTTTACCTGCATGTATGTATGTGTACTACAGGTGCCTTCAGAGGCCAGAGGAGGGTATTGGATCCCCTGAAACTGGAGTTACAGTTTGGTGCTGCCATGTGGGTGCTGGGAATTGAACCCGAATCCTCTGGAAGAACAGCCAATGCTCTTTTTTCTTTTTCTTTTTTTCTTTCTTTTTTTTTTTTCAGATGGGTTTCTCTGTGTAGCTTTGCGCCTTTCCTGGAACTCGCTCTGTAGACCAGGCTGGCCTCGAACTCACAAAGATCCACCTGGCTCTGCCTCCCGAGTGTTGGCATTAAAGGCGTGCACCACCACTGCCCGGCCAGCCAGTGCTCTTAACCAGCCTTTGCTGAGAATTTCTGCATTTACATTCAAAGGGGGATTTTTATAAAGATTTTTCTTTCTGTGGTCATTGTTGAATTTTGAGAGTTCTCTGTATGTTTTATAAAGACTTCATATTGTTCTTCTTTATTTTTCGAGAGAGGGTTTCTCTGTGTAGCCCTGGCTATCCTGGAACTTTCTGTAGACCAGGCTGGCCTTGAACTCACAGAGATCCACCTGCCTCTGTCTCCCGAGTGCTGGGATTTAAAGGCACGCATTGCCACCACCCGGGCAAGACTCTGTTTTGTAATTGCTATCTATACACGATACTTGGTGGACATATATCTTGGTAATATTGCCTTCTGTCCTGTGGCCAGGAGGTTTTAATTTTGACAGTATTCACCTCACTTCCTTCCTCGTTTGTCTGGTCCCAGGTCACAAAGGTTTTCTCCCATCCTTTCTTCTAGAGCTTTTCGCTTTAAGTTTTACATTTAAGTCTGACTTAGGTCTAGGAATGTGGCTGAGCTGGTCCAGTGCTTGCCTAGCACACACAAAGCCAAGTCCAGTCTTCAGCACCAGAGGCTGATGGTGCAGACATCTGCAACCCAGGACTCAGGAAGCAAGGACAGGAGGATCAGAAATTCAACAACTTTGAGGTCAGCCTGGCCCCGGGAGATAGCTCAGTCAGACAAGTGCTTGTCACCCCAGTGTGCGAATCTGAGTTCGATCCCAAGAACCCACTGAAAAAGCCAAGGGGCACTGCAGGACACTGCAGCATATTCGTAATCCTAGGCGGGATGTGGAGCCAGGAGGGGCCTGGAGTTTGCTGGCCAGCCATTTTCTCCTATTCAGGAAGCTCCAGGCTCAAGAAAAGACCCTTCCTCAAAAGATGTGGTGGAAAGCAATTAGGGAGACATCTGATGCTGACCCTCTGGCCTCAACATGCACACACACCATGCACACACACATGAACGCACACACACACAATTCATTTGAAATTTTTTAGTTTTGTTTTGTTTTTTTGACAGGGTCTCCTGGGGAGCCCAAGTTAGCTTCAAACCAGTTATGTATCCACGAATGACTTTGAGCTAATCCTAGCTACACTTGCCCCGTGCCCAGATTGCCAGTGTGCACTCCCACACCCAGGTTTTTTGTTTTGTTTTTTGAGACAGCATCTCACTTTGTAGTCCAGACTAGACTTAAACTCCCAAGAGTTCTCCTGCCTCAGCTTCCCCAGTTTGCTGCCACACCCTAACAAGTTGTTGTGGGGAAAATTGTTCATTTTTCATATTATTATTAGTAGTATGTGCATCCTCAAGTGCATATGCACACACATGTGAATATGAGCAAACAAATGCCACAGAACTTGTGTAGAATCTAGAAGACAACATTTTTCCATCGTAGATTCTGAGGCTCGACTCAGGTCCTATTTTTGTGTTACTGGTACCAAGCACCCCTGTTGAAGGCTTCAATAGGGAGAAGAGTCTATCTGCCCCCTATGATCAACCAGCCAAGGATGCGTTAGAGGGATTTAGGTGCTCTAGGCAGGGTATACTCAGATGCCCAAAAGCACGAGCAATCTGTATGTGTTCTTAGAGGGCTGGACCAATTCCCTTAATATGTTGAATTCAGCTCCTTTTGCCCTGAAAGAACCCCCTGCAGCATGCCACACACCCAGCAGCTCTCTGCCTTCCTGCCAGAGGGATGTATATTAGTCAGGGAGTGTTTAGTCCACATCCACTTGAGGGATAGCCCTTCCGTCACAAGATTCCAGGAAATGTCTCTCAGTCTTCCGAAGCCCATACACAAAAATTCTTTCATCAACACAGTCGCCATATGCTTTCACTGCATGAACTCACAGTCTTTCAGGGACTGGCCTTGCTGCCATGATTCTAGAGTGTTATCTCTGCCTGTCCTGCTCTGTTCCAGCCTAGATTCCTGTAGTCCAATGTTGGCACAGGGTGAAAAGTGTGGCCTCCAGATGTGGTCAGGGGAAGGAGAGAGAGAGAGCGAGCCTGGTGTGAGAGCGCTCTTAGCTCAGATATTCCTTGTCAGATGTCACAGGTAGCCAGTGGTCCACACAATCTCAAAGGCAAGGAAGTTGGGTCAAGTGGGTCCTAAAAGTGGGAACTGGGGCAACCACTCAGTTGCCCACCGAGGATGGTTAAGGGTTAAGGCTGAAGTAGGTGTGGTGGCCCACCTAATTCCAGCACTCCGAGGCCAAAGCAGAAACTGGAGGATCTCTGAGTTTGGTGGTAACCTGATCTGCAGAGCGAGTTCTAAGACAGCCAGGACTACACAGAGAAACCCTGCCTCTCTCTCTCTCTCTCTCTCTCTCTCTCTCTCTCTCTCTCTCTCACACACACACACACACACACACACACACACACACACACACACACACACACCACATACACAGAAAGAAAGAAAGAAAGAAAGAAAGAAAGAAAGAAAGAAAGAAAGAAAGAAAGAAAGAAAGAAAGAAAGAAAGAAAGAAAGAAGAAAGAAAAAGTTAGTCTGGGCCTGGGAGGTGGCCTGGTGTCGTTTTGACCATGATCCAGTGACTGATGGAGATGACAACACCAGAGAGTTGGGAAGAGAGCTAGTAAGAAATGCAGGGTCAGCCACGGCCTGGGTCAGAGCGTTGCTGCACATGGGTCCATGTGTGAGTGTCGGATGGAGAGTGAGCTCGATGTGCCAGTTTGTTCAGTATTGCTAAACCTAAGGGTAAGGGGGCAGTCCCAGAACCGTCGGAGAAAGAGATGAGCCGCCCATAGCCTGTTGCAGAATCCAGAACGGCTGTCTTCCTACGTTGGAAGGACACTGAACCAATGCAGGAGTATAGGTTCCGCCGTGTTCTCCAAGACTTCTTGGAGAGGCGCTCCCGACAGGTCATTTGGTGGCCTGAAAGGTCCTAAGCGTCTCCTGGCTTGTTGGCTGGCTCTGGCGAGTCTGGTCCAGCCAACCTGCCCTCCGCGTAGGTTTTTCGAAGCACAAATTAGCCCGGATCACACAAAACACCAGCCGCTGCTGGGCCTGTTTTTGCCAGTCATTTCGCTCAATTCTCGTCTGTTGAAATCAAGCATTCCTTCTTCAGTCAGTTTCCTAGAGTGCAGAAATCCAAGCCCGGGCGGGGCGGGGCTGGGAGTGCTGGGGGCGGGACTCCGAGCAGCTCCCGACTGCAAATCCCAGGGCTCAGCACCCAGCCGGAGCGCATTCAGCTGTCGCGCCATGGGGAACGCCGACGCGGTCCACGACGAGGGGCTGTTGGCCGGGCGTGGGCCAGAGTCCCTGGGGACTGACGCCGGGCTTGGGGGCGCGGGCGCGGCGGCGCTGGTGGGGGGCGTGCTGCTCATCAGCATGGTGTTGGCGGGGAACTCGCTCGTCTGCGTGAGCGTGGCCTCCGAGCGCACCCTGCAGACACCCACCAACTACTTCATCTTGAGCCTGGCGGCCGCTGACCTCCTCCTCGCAATACTAGTACTGCCACCCTTTGTCTACTCCGAGGTGAGCCTCCATGAGCTCTTTCCCCACCTCGGCGCCTCTGCTCCGCTCCCCTCCGCCCCTCCTCCCCTTCCCCTCCCCGGGCCCCAGAGTGGTTCAGCTGCCTGGACCTTCAGCAACCTTGAGCATGGCGTTTGCAGGGACTCCAGGTCTCCTCACTCCTGACTGCTCACCGTCTCCCGCTTTCCAGAATCCAGCGCCAGTTTTGCGTCTGTCGGGTCACCCTACAATTCTCTGGATCCCTTCCTATTCTCTGTGATCTGCTGACCCAGAGAGGGCTTGTGTCCCTGGAACCAAGGATCTCAGATACTGTCTTTCCCATTGAAGTCTCGGGTCCCACTCCAGAAATACTGTACCCCTAACCCCTGCCAAAAGCCAGGTAGACCGACAGGCAAGTGTGCAGACACACATCTCTGCTGTCGACCACTGCCTTTTAGGGACACAACCCCCCCCCCCCAGAGAGAGAGAGAGATAGACAGACTTTGCCAGCCTGTGCCAGCTCACCCTGTGGAAGAAGCCCAAAGCCTGTAGCCACTCAACTGCCAGGAGCTTGGAGCGGTGAACGGTGTAGTCAGAGAGATCTGGGCGGGACAGTGAACCTAGGAGCACCTAAGGGTTCAGAACTTTTTGGAGACTCCAGGACAGAGTCACCCCAGACCAGGTCTGGTTCTTAGGTGTGTCTGCTGTGGTGCCAACTCTTCTCTCTGTACGAGGTTTGGCCAGAGAAAAGCTGCTTAGGACAGGAATGGGGACATAGTGGCCTGGACTTGGGGGGAGGTGGTGGCCTGCATGGGATTTCTAAGGAAGACACTGAATTCTGGAGTTAGGGCAGAGGCCAGCAGCCACGCTTGACCCCAGGTCCTCCCCGAGGGACTGACGTCACTGTGATGATTCTTAAGCTCCTAATCGTCCCAAATCAGTATGAAGGGATTTGGGGATGGGTGGGTTGAGATGGCTGTATGCTCCTTTGCCCTTGAAGAAGAATACTCTATGCAGATTCACAGAGAGCCCTATGAAGTCTTTGTACTTTTAGAACACATCTGTCCTCAGAACAATTGTCATGTGTATACCGTCCAGCAAGTGAAGGGGCCCATCCAAAGTCCCACAACAGTGACAGTTGAAGCAGGCAGGATAACTCGTAGCTGAGTCTTGGAGGTGGGTAGGATTTGTGTTTAGTGGGCAGAGGGTCAGGCCTATCCCCCTAAGGGCTCCTCCCCTCCAGCAGATGGTATCAATCCCCCTTGGGTCTTCCCCAAGCTTCTCACCTAAGCAAAGGAGACCTGAGTCAAGAGGCAGGTCTGTCTGCCCCCTCTGTCTCCTCTAACACAAGCGTCTCCCACTGTCTCAGGATCACATTGGGCTTGTATGCCCCCCAATCCCCTCTAGTACACAGCCATTGCCTCCCCCACGCCCCAACAAGAATGGGGGTCAGAAAGTCAGCGGCTGAAAGATCAGGTCTTGTGCTTCTTTTCTGCAACCTCTGCGTGCCTAGGTCCAGGGTGGCGTGTGGCTGCTGAGCCCCCGCCTCTGTGACACCCTCATGGCCATGGATGTCATGTTATGCACTGCCTCCATCTTCAACCTGTGCGCCATCAGCGTGGACAGGTGGGTATCCCAGACGACCCCCCTCCCACCCCCATCTCCCAGTCACCTGCCCAACTCGGCGCCTTCACCATGCCTGTGTCCCTCTAGGTTCGTGGCTGTGACGGTGCCGCTCCACTACAACCGTCAGGGCCAGCGCCAGCTGCTGCTCATCGCTGCCACATGGGTGCTGTCCGCCGCGGTGGCTGCGCCAGTGCTGTGCGGCCTCAACGATGTGCCCGGCCGCGATCCAGCCGTGTGCCGCCTGGAGGACCGCGACTACGTGGTCTACTCGTCCGTTTGCTCCTTCTTCCTGCCCTGTCCGCTCATGCTACTGCTTTACTGGGCCACTTTTCGCGGCCTGCGGCGCTGGGAGGCAGCCCGGCACACCAAGCTGCACAGCCGCGCACCGCGCAGACCCAGCGGCCCCGGCCCGCCAGTGTCCGACAGTGCTCCTCCGGGCCCCTTCTTCCCAGACTGTCTGCCCCCCTCACCCAGCCTCCTGCAGGGCCCCAGCGGCTCCAGCCCGCCTGAGCCAGATCTCTCTCAGGGACTCTGCGGCCCGGAGTGTCCGCTCCCCGATGCGGTGCTCCCGCAAGCGCCAGCGCCAGCGCCGCCTTCCCGCAGAACGAGGGGGAAGATCACCGGAAGGGAGCGCAAGGCAATGAGAGTCCTGCCGGTGGTAGTCGGTGGGTTCCTGCCCTGGGGCAAGAGCTGGTTGTAGAGAGGGGTCCCAGGTGGAGGGGTCCCGGGCTCCGCGAGGCGGGAGGTGGGAGAGGTCTAGATTGAAAGGGTGAAAGGTGGGTGGGGAGTCCCGGGTGAGGGACCTCGAGTGCAACAGTACAGGCTCACGTCGCCCACCCCCAGGGGCCTTCCTGATGTGTTGGACGCCTTTCTTCGTGGTGCACATCACGCGGGCGCTGTGTCCGGCTTGTTTCGTGCCCCCTCGCCTGGTCAGTGCCGTCACCTGGCTAGGCTATGTCAACAGTGCCCTCAACCCCATCATCTACACCGTCTTCAACGCCGAGTTCCGCAGGGTCTTCCGCAAGTCTCTCTGTCTCCGCTGCTGAAAAGGTCACTGGTGTCCTGAAGTCAAGCAGATCCAAGCCTGTGTGCGGAGTTCGCTGGCGCTCATTCGCCTGATTAAACTAATTATTTCCTAATCATTTACGAAGGCTGGGGGTCGGGGAGCAGCAAGGAAAGAGGAGGGGTTTTGTTTTTGCATGGATGTTGGGACCTGGCTAATTCCTTCTGCCTTTGAGGATGTTGCCGGCTTAGTTCTAGGAGGCTTCTGGTCTCTTCTGTCCCAGGAAAGGTGGAAGAACTTCAGTTGGCTTAGTTTAACCTCAACATGTAAAGTGACCAAGTGACTAGCTGGGAGAGGAACTAGAGGAATTTCCCGGGCCCGGGCGGGCAGCTGGGTCCTGGATCCTGTCCAGGGCAGCTCTTGCTCCTTGAAGAGCGAGGCAGGAAGGGCTCTGCTGTTATTGAAGGGGTCGGGGCACCATTTGGGGAGCTTTCTTGAGTACAGTACACATAGCTTCCTGCCAGCCTCTCACCAGGAGATACCCAAATCTCGCAGTTTCACTAAGGCGCCCTCCCACTCAGGCCCACACAGGCTATCTTTACCCCATGGGTGGTCCAGCAGCAGGGTTCAAGAGACTGAGGGACCCAAGCAGCTCCTGCACTCTTTGGCCAGGGCCCATTCCATCAAGAAGAGATGACTCCTGGCAGGGACAGCTCACCCTAACACTACCCCCTCCTGTCATGGGAGAGATGTAAGTCAGGACTGCTGAGGTGGTTTTTAGATTGGGGTTCCACACCAACAGCAACAGGCACAAAATGTCACACTCTGTTCTCAGTATTGAGAAATGACAAGCTATGAGATCTACAGCAGTTAAAACAGTCCTTGTTGGGTAAGAAGCAATTCCCCAGGACTGAGGGTGCTATGGCCTCACTGGTCTCTGGCGGCTCAGTGCTCCCTGCTGGCCTCTGTTGATCTCTCAGGACTAGCAAGCTCCTGGGGGCGGGGTGTGTGTGTGTGTTTGTGTGTGTGTGTGTGTGTGTGTGTCAATGGAGTAATGGGTTCATATTTGTCCACACACTGTCTAACATTAGTGGAATTGGGGCTCCCTTAAGTTTTACCCCTGGAGACCCTAGGATACCAAATGTGCCTGCCCTTTGCTGACTCCCACTGAAAAGTTCTGCAGATAAAAATGTACGGCTGAGCCGGGCGGTGGTGGCGCACGCCTTTAATCCCAGCACTCGGGAGGCAGAGCCAGGCGGATCTCTGTGAGTTCAAGGCCAGCCTGGACTACCAAGTGAGTTCCAGGACAGGCGCAAAGCTACACAGAGAAACCCTGTCTCGAAAAACCAAAAAAAAAAAAAAAAAAAAAAAAAAAAAAATGTACGGCTGAAACTCAAGTGAGTGGGGCAGAAGTCACTGGAAGCTTGATGCAGCTTGGGGAACTGAACCCTAAGTGCCCATGTCCTGAGACCCTTTGAGTGTCTTCCTTAGAGGAAAGGGAAAGAATAAATTGAATCAATTCCACTGCTCTTTAACGGTCACCCTCTCAAAACCATCTTGGTGTTCTGGGACTTTCACAGTGCCACTCCTTGGGGGTAGACATCCTGGCTGCCCCCTGTCAGCTGTCCTGTGGTTAGCAGTGGCTGGCCATTTTCTTGTTTGGGTAACTCTTGGGTGCGATGACTTTGCCAAGCTGTCAGTGTGCAAACTGAGCTGTGCTGTGTAGCCTCAGCCTACTCTGCATGGCCTTGGTGGCTGGTTAGAGCTGAGAGCTACTCGGTCACCAGAAAGCACTTCCCGGAAGAAGGGCAAGGCATAGGCTTGATTCCGGCAGAAATAAACAGGGTGGTCATGAAGACCTTACTCAATGGGAAGGGCCCCAGGCCTGAAGCCTCCAGGTGAGGCTGGCTCACTGATAAGCCTTGGGGAGAAGGTGGGGACCCCAGAGAATTGGGATCTCCTTATTTATATACATGTCCCACCCTCAACTATCCCTGTAGTTCACATTGAGGGACCTCAGGGATCTGCTGGGTGCAGAAAGGGCCTTCTGGTAGGAGGAACCATTCTTGGTTCAGTGCAGGGGATAGGGATGATATTCTTATACATACCAAGGTGTAAAGCTGGTGTGTATCTCATAGGAACTGTTTTAGAAGTAGGTGTAAGAATTGGTAAGTCTATAAGTTCATCCTAAACTTGAAGGCACTCCTCTAGACCCTAGCTAAGTCTGCATATCCCCTACATGGTGCAGGGGAGCCTCAGGCCCCTGACTTTTATGAGTTGGAGGGCATTTCTGAAAAATGAGAGGCTTCCAGAATATGCTTCTCTTAACAGTGTTCTTTGTCAGTAGGAACACCAGGTCTCATTCCCAAATCAGCCAAGTCCAGTTCCTAAGTATGAGTCTCCCCCAAAGGTCTCCACTCCCTTACCTGCTCCCAGGGACGGTGTCTAGGATGGTCCTGGGTGATGAGAAGCAAGAGTGGAGAAAAACAAGACAACCAGGCCTTTGCATGCAGAAGCCCTGGTCATAGGCCAGGTATTTCAATGTGCATCAAACATGATGCCCTGGAGATTCATGGGAGTCCTTTAGCTGCTCATGACTCTACCTGGACACAAGCAGAGCTGAGAGGATATGGAGGCAAACCTTGCTAAGCAGTCTCAGGTTCTCCTGAAACCATTTCCAATAGAGAAAGATAGGTTGAGACCTCCTTGGCTGTGAAGGCCGTGAAAGTAGCTCAAGAAGAGGATTGCTGCAGGCCTGTATCACCACAGCAGGACACAGGGAAGTGCACAGCCCACACTCACACAATCGGGACATGGCAGGAACCCTCTGGCCATTGGAATATAAAGTGGGCTTTGTAATGGCACCATCCAGGTGGGGGATGGGGGCTTTATTTACAACTTTATTAACAGATAAAACAGATATGTACACGTGGCGTAGGGGACCCCCACGGGTAATGGGACACTCGTGATCCAGGGATGAAAGAGCACCGCAATAGGTCAAGGGCCCTGGGCTGTGGCAGAGGGCCCCCGTTCTGAAACCCACCAGCATTCCTTGGTCTCTGGCAGGAGTTCCTTTCAAAGGGCATACATAGTCTGTTTGTTAGTAACTTGTCCGGCAAGTTTCCCATGGCCTCACTTCTCAGCAGCCCCCATAGTCATCAGAGGGCCTAAGCCTGTGATGGCCTCGCAGTGGAGCAGGGAGAGGCTTGGCTCAAACAGCAACTTTTTCTATTACACTTTCTTCAACATGGACTTCATCAGCCTGGACAGTGACAGATGTTGACTGGCCACAGACGTGCTGATGGTCTTTCCAGTCCTGGAAGGTAGGACACCCATGTTAGCAGGAAGGACCACAGAGACCCACTGTGGTACAGAGCAACATATCACCTGTGGATGGGCCCTGGACTTCACCATGAGGTGGCTGTGAGCTGTCGGAGTAAGGGAACGTTCAGATACATGAGGATAACAAGACTGAATATGTTTACACATCCATGTATTTGCTGTTGTTAGAACTGTTTTGTTTTGAGACAGGATCTCTCTATTATTAGGCTCTGGCTATCCTGGAACTCACCATGTAGAGCAGGCTGGCCTCAAACTCATAGAGATCCTCCTGCCTCTATGTCCCTAGTGCTAGGATTAAAGGTGTGGGCCACCATACCCTGCTGCTGTTAGAATTTAAATGAAAAGTTGGACACAGTGGTTCATGCCTGTAATCTCAGCACGTGGGAGGCTGAAACATGAGGATAGCCACAAGTTCGAGACCAGCCTAGGCTAACAGTATAAACAAACAAATAAATAAATTTATATGTGATATTGCCACCCACCATGGTATTTATAACTGTGAAGATGATACTATCTGTATACACACACACACACACACACACACACACACACACACAGGAGAGCAGAAACAAGCACATCCTGAAGGTGAAAGGTCATCTCAGGAAAGGCCTGCCTTATGTTTATAACAAAAAACTGTCCCAAGTAATAAAATCCCATAGCTGTAGCAGTGTGGGTGAGCAAAGTGTACATGAGGCCCAGACAGCCACCAGACCCTGGCAGCACTACACAACGAGACACCGTTGCCCGTAACTGGTATGAACGGGCATGGTGCCTTGGAGCTGTGGACCCTGGCCAGTTCCCCAGGGAAATCTAGATGCTTTCTTCTGTGAAGTGAATGAAGGGGTCATTCATGGATGAGGAAGCCCAAGGCACATGCCAGTGTCCACCTGAAGCAACAAGCAGGCCTCCATCCAGGTCTTTGGGCAAATATCCAAGACTGATTCTTTTTTTTTGGTTTATCGAGACAGGGTTTCTTTTCTCTGTCTTGAATGTCCTGGAACTTGCTTTGTAGACCAGGCTGGCCTTGAACTCACAGATATCTATCTGCCTCTGCCTCCTGATTGTTGGGAAGGAATAAAGGCATGTGCCACCACCACCCAGCAAGACTGATTCTTGAAACCTCAAATTCTGAATAAAACAGACAAACAAACAAACAAATATAAACTATTCTTTCAAACTTCATTGTTTGAGGCCAGGTGGTGGTGGTGTACACCTTTAGTCCCAGCACTCGGGAGGCAGAGGCAGGTGGATCTCCGTGAGTTCGAGGCCAGCTTGGTCCAGGACAGTCAGCACTTTCACAGAGAAACTCTCTCAAAAACTAAACAAACAAACAAACAAAATCCCAACAACAACAAAAACTACTTCACTGTTTGAAAACGCTCAGCTCTGACCAAGAAAGCAGGTGCTAATGCTTGACAAAACTTTCTCAGAGAAGCCTTCCTGTATGGACATTTCAGATTCTTCACAGCATTGAAGCAAAATAGCCTGGCACTACGGTGGGAAACAGACACACCTTCGCTCTAGAGTTCCTGGAGACAGGTCATGTCATGTGGGCAACGTGCAGCATGTGTGTGCTGAGGGCACAAGCCATTCCTAACCCTCAGCTGATACTTCAAGGTACCCTGCGGCTCCTGCAGGTGCCTGCATGCTCTTGTGCACAGTCTGCAGATTTACACACATTCTTTCCTGTGTATGCCAAGCCCAGCATAACTAAAACTTTAAAATTAACACTGCTTTTCAAAAGTTAAGATGTCAGTCTAGGAATGGAATCCCTCAGCACTTGGGATGTTATGGCAAGAAGGGTCACAAGTTAAAGGCCAGCCTGGGAGACATATTAAAACTTGTATCAAAAAAGAAAAAACAAGCCCGCAGTGGTGGCGCATTCCTTTAATCCCAGCACTCAGGAGGCAGAGCCAGGAGGATCTCTGTGAGTTCGAGGCCAGCCTGGTCTACAGAGCAAGATCTAGGACAGGCACCAAAACTACATAGAGAAACCCTGTCTCGAAACAAAAACAAAAACAAAAAAACAAACAAAAAACCCCAAAACAAAAACAAAACAGAAACTGGAAGGGGGCGCTTTGAGATGACTTAGTAGAAAAGGTCACTTGCTGTCCAGCATGATGATCTGAATTCAGTCTCCAGGATCTACATACAGAAGAGGAGAAGAACCAACTCCTTCAGGTTGTTCTGATATCCATGTGTGTGCCATGGCATGTGCCCCCATAGGGATACTAAATAAATAAACGTAATTAAAAACAAACCAAAGGACAAAAAAAACCGAGTACAGCTCAGTGGCAGAACACTGAACACGCACAGGCCTGCCTTCAGCCCCCCCGTAGACCACAACAACCGCCAGTGAGCCAAGGAGCCGGCTGCACTGGTAAGGGGCACCAGCTGTGCATCTTTCACTATGAAAGGTCTAGAACAAGCAATGCACACATGCAAAGTTGATTATCCACACCAGGGCCTGGGAGCAAGGGAGGCAGCAGGGTCGGGGAGCACCAGGGATTCTTTCACGGGATGTTTGAAAATGCACTGGGTTATTGTAACTCTCTAAACTTCACTGGCTGTATGAATATAAACCAGGGGAATTTTACGGCATGTAAATCAGGACCGATTAAAGATGTCCTGACATACAGCTCACATGGGGTTTGAAAAAATAAACACTGTATAAGTTAAAAGCAAAACAGGCTATGACTGTTATCTAGCGCACAAGAAAGCCAAAAACAGCCTACTTTTCAGGTGCCTAGTTGAAATAGGTGAGGAAGTTACCTCTTTCACAAGTTACCACTTGTTCAAAGTGGCCTCTGGCTTCTGTTCCTTCAGATCCCTGCTAGTGTTCCCTTTGAAGCCAATATGAGAATTATGGATAGGGACATTCACTTTTTAAGAAAAGATTTATTGCTGGGTGGCGGTGGTTGCGCATTCCTTTAATCCCAGCACTCGGGAGGCAGAACCAGGCGGATCTCTATGAGTTTGAGGCCAGCCTGGTCTACAGATCAAGTTCCAGGATATGCTCCAAAGCTACATAGAGAAACCCTGTCTCAAAAACAAACAACAACAACAACAACAAAAGATTTATTTATTATTCTTATTTTATGTGTAGGGGTGTTTTGCCTGCACAGATGTCTGTGTACTATGTTTGTGCCTGGTGTTCACAGAGGGCAGAAGAGGGTGTCAGATGCCCTGGTATTGGAACTAAGATGGTTGTGAGTCATCACGTGGGTGCTAGAAATTGAACCCAGGTTTTCTGCAACAGAGTACTCTTAACCACTGAGCCATCTCTCTAGTCCCCTACCTTCATTTTATATCATTTCAAATGAAGAAGTTGCACACGCCTTTATCCCAGCACTCGGGAGACAGAGGCAGGTGGATTTCTGCAGGGCTACACAGAGAAGTGCTGTCCTACCCAAAACAAAACAAAGCAAAAGAAAAAAGAAAGCTGGAGCATTTGTCTTTATTGATACAGGACATCAAAAAGAGGCTGAAATCCCAGCACTCGGAAGTCAGAGGCGGGCCGATTTCTGTGGGTTCGAGGCCAGCCTGGTCTATAAAGAGAGCTCCTACACAGAGAAACCCTCTCCTCGCTCTAAAAAAAAAAAAAAAGAAAGAAAGAAAGAGGGGGGAAAAAAAAGCAGGCTGACTCAGCATAAAAAGCAGGCTGACTCAGCATGGTGGCTCCAAGAAGTGGAATCTCTCTTCCATACTGTTCCGAGAATCAAAGCTCCCAGAACACGAAGTGAGGGCTGAGACAGAAGCCCGCACTGTGACAAGTTCTCTATTGAGCCTGTGCCAGCACTTCCGGAAGCTTCCGGCTGGGAGTGAGGTGTGGTGATGTTTTGTGATCTAACAAATAAAGCTTGCCTGAAGATCAGAGTGCACAGTTAAGCCACTAGTTAGCCATAGAGGCCAGGCAGTGGTGGCACACACCTTTAATCCCAGCACTCGGGAGGCAGAAGCAGAGGCAAACAGATCTCTGTGAGTTCAAGGCCACACTGGGCTACACAGAGCCAGGCAGTGGTGGCTCACACCTTTGATCCCAGCACTTGGGATCTCATGCCTTTAATCTCAGCACTAGGGACGTGGAGACAGGAAGTGATATGGCTGTGTGGAGACAGGAATATAAGGCAGTGTGGAGACAGGAGGTCAGGCGCCCTTTCGGCCAAGGTAAGAACTTGAGGCTGGCTGTTCTACTTCTCTGATTTTTCAGCATTTACTCTGATATCTGACTCCAGGTTTTTACTAATAAGACCAATTAGAATCTGTGCTACAGTGAGGCTCCTTGGTTACCTGTACACTATGATCTCTCTTCCAGTGGCCCTGGCTCATGTCCCAGCATCCCCAAGTACCAGTGGAACAACCTAGCTGAACTTTTCTCAGTGCAAAAGCTTGTTAGTAGAGTTCAGAAGATGAACTTCCGGTTTTGCTCCCCAAATCTCTGGCGTCCTGGAGACAAGTGCAGCTACAGAGATGACCAGAGAACATAGGCCCTAGCTTCCCTTTAAACCCTAGAGGCAATGGCTCCTGTGTGCTCACCAGGGCCACATGGGACTGCCAGGAGTCCACCAGGGTGAGAACATCACACTTTCCTTGTGGACGTCAGGGTGGGGGACACATGTCTACTTCATAAGCTGCCCTTCATGACTATCTTCCCATATCCACATTTTGTTAGCCTGCCAAGTTTCGGCAAGGTGCCAGGCCATGGGCTCTTATGGAAGGTTCTGTCTGCCGACACAGCTTGAACCTGCAGTGGCTACTGAGCGTGTCTGAGACAGGTCTGCTTCCCTATTCACACACCTAGACCCACCCAAGGGCCTAAGGCTACTCCTCGGCATCCCCAGAACCAGTGCCACAGACTCCAGGTGACTGGGGCTGGGGCTGGAGATGTGTCTCAGGGGGTAGAATGCCTGCCTAATTTAAGGTCATTCTTGACTACATATGGCGTTCTAGGCTAGCCTGAAATACATGAAAGCCCGTCTCAAAGAAAAAAAGGAAAAACTCTCTTTAATGTTCTCAGAGCCAATGGTTAAATAATATAAACAAAGCCACCGTGAACCACGATTCTTACAATGCTCTGTGAGGCCTGCTGGAATAGAACATGATGAGGCACCCTCAGAACACTGACTCCCTACCAGTGTAGCAGGTCTCACCATAGGCACACAGACACACACGTGCCTTCTCATCCCACAGATCCAGTTGGAAGCCTGCAGAAAGGGGATTCGAGGAGACTTGGGCCTTCTGCAGAGCGTCCAGCAGGCAGCTCCAGGCAGCCTCTGCCCAAGACATTCTAGATGGACCACAGCCCTGAAGCCAGCCTTCTGGCCCATAGGGACTTGGAGCGAGTCCACCTGTCTAGGCCCCTGTACAGGACACTGGACGGGAAGAAAAGGCTGAGGCAATGCAGGCATGTAAGCAGGCACGGTACCTTGCGCTGGCAGAATGTGGAGCAGTAGTTGACCTTGTGGCATCCGGTACACTCACTCATGGCCTCCCGGCCGCAGTTGACACAGGATTGCTGCAAGAAGGACAAACACATGTCAGTGTCACAGCAGGTGCCAGGCTCCGGGGCAGGAACCCGAGACTAAAGGAACACCGGGCACAGCCTTATGGAATGTGTCCGTCCCAGTGCTCTTCGGTTGTCCAGAACTGGCCTCCCCCTTTATCTGAGTTTGCCCTGAACCAGGTGCCAGAATGTCAGTTTCCAAACTCCAAGGAGACTCCCTTTCAGCCATGTGAGTACAGAAAGCCTGGTTGGGGGAAGTTCTCAACCCTGGGCACACTTCCTGAGTGCTCGAGGGCCCAGCCCGCAAACATGCAGCCATGCCAGCACTGGGCACATCAGGGTCTCTTGAGTGGCCTCGAGTGTATCAACTATGGAGTTTAGGTCCTAGTACCCCCGGTGGTGGCCAAGGCTTCCCCCATACTGCTGTTCAGAGTCATTTCACTGAAACAGCACTGATCGCCTGACATTTGGTGTATTTTTTTAAGCTACATTAGGGGAGGACAGTTAATGAACTGAGGTGCTGAACACAACCTCTCAATGACTGATTTTTGTGGAATAAGTGATTATGTATGGCATTTGGCAACTGCAAGATTGCTATCAACGAACACTTTCCAGGATGGAAGGAACCAGAAAACCTGAGACTGGGCTACAGGGTTGGGAAGGGGTGCCCGTGTGTGTTGCTGGGTCACACAGAATGGAGGGATCTATGCTGGTAGGGCAATGGGCAGCAGCCTGCTTTGACCAACATACACAATATACAGATGTGACTGCTGGGCTCACAATGCTACCCAGGCCAGCTTGACCACAGTTTTTGTGGGTATGCTGGAAACACAACAGTTCCTTGTAGACTCTTGTTCTGAATTTCAGCTTTCTTCTGTGATCTTCACTGTGACCACCTTCCCACTTGTGAATCGTCAGCTACCTCATTCCCTTTAGAAATCCTGGGTGACTCAGCTGAACTCACTAGCACTGAACCAAGTTTCCAAACCCTGCCTCCACCTTGAATGACTAAATACTACAAAAAAAAAAAAAAAAAAAAAAAAAAAAAAAAGTCCATAACCACATAGACAGAGTTGGTAGGTCAGAGTCTAGGAAGACACCAGCAGGGAGGGGTGAGGATCCAGACACATGGAAACTAAGAAGACAGCACAGGCCACAGCCAGAGATCTCAAAACTTCAGCGCATTCACCCTGCTGGAAATATGTGACCAGAAAGATCAGCAGTGTGGGAGATAAATGGGTCTGAAGAGTCTATGGCTACTCTGTTCGGGAGAGCCCCAAGTGAACTTGCTCAGTGACCAGGTCTGCAGAGAGAGAAGAACAGACAATGGCAGACACCCCGGTCCAGGCTGCAAGGACGGCACTGAACACAGGGATGTGGTAAGATAGAACACGTTCCTCTTACGGAAGCCACCTGTCGGTTCCACTGTGAGAAGAGCCCGCCTGAACAGTCCAGATGAGCTGCCAGACTCTTCAGAGAACAGGAGAGCAGCCAGGCCTACGCAGCTGGGGCAGACACCCCTCCCCTCCTCGTGCTGGGGTAGCTTGTGTGCCCCAGACAGCCCTGAGCATAAAAACAAAAAAGGCAGTGACAATGAAAGTCACTGTGGAGCTGGCAGTTGTGATCAGAGGCAGGACAAGGGGCTACGGGATTGACATGCTCATGGAGGACAGCCTGTGATGGTCACAGGGACCCTCTGTACTAATTCTGCAGCTTTTTTTTTTTTTTTTTTTTTTTTTTTTTTTTTTTTATGTGAAGGCTCTGAGGAGAGAAAGAGCTGGATAAGGACCAGAAGGAAGTCTCCCATGGATCTCAGAGACCTTCACTTTTTTTTTTTTTTTTTTTTTTTAAAGATTTATTTATTATGTATACAGCATGTGTGCCTGCAGGCCAGAAGAGGGCACCAGATCTCGTTACAGATGGTTGTGAGCCACCATGTGGTTGCTGGGAATTGAACTCAGGACCTCTGGAAGAGCAGTCAGTGCTCTTAACCTCTGAGCCATCTCTCCAGCCCCCTAATTCTGCAGCTTTTCTGAAAAAAATGGAAATGACCCCAAGATCATCTTTTTTTTTTTTTTTTTATCAGAAACAACCTTTCTCCATGCCAGCAGAGGTGCACATACACTCCAGGGACACCCATCTCTGCTGCCAGAGTGACCTGAAAAAGCCCTTTCTGAGCTTCCTAGAAGGCTACGGAAAGCCTCCGAACCAGGGAGTGGCTTTCCATGAATGGGCCTCAGCAGGTCACCACAGTGATCCTCAGTGCAGAGGCCACAGGACTCACTGTGGGGCATGTGGTCCAAAGAGCAGGCCCAGATATGAGGCTGGAGTCTCGAGGGCATCACGGCCCCGGCAGCAAGCATAACAACTGCTAACAGGCACGAGGAGTCCTTGGCCTCTGCCTCCGAAAGAATGGGTACCTAGGCCCTGTGTCTCAGAAGGGCCATGAACTGTCCATGGGCACAGCAACAGACCAGGTTCAGTGTCAACTTACAGTGTGGCAAGAATATGTACAACAAGCAGCTACGCCACCCACTACTCTAGGAGTCACTCATTTCTAAATTATACAAAGTGCACATCACAGGTAACTGAGCAATTTCTCACAAAAGATCCGAGCAATAAGATGAAAAAATTACCTATAAAATGTTCAATAATCCTGAATCACTCAAAGAATAATCTCAATAATGTACTTGCCATTGGTTTTGCAAATGACCTTTAAGTCTAACTTGAACTTGGGAGCTGCACATGTCTGGGGTGGTTCAATGCCTTGTCCCTAAACAACTAGGTGTAGCTAGCCTGGAACTCATTTTATAGACCAGGCTTGCCTCAAACTCAGAAATCCACCTGTCTTTGTTCTCGACTTCTTCTTTGAAGGTATTCAGTTCTTTATTACATTTATTTTTATGTGTGTGTTTGAGCATATATGACATGGTCTATATATGATCTAGGGATCAAACCCAGGTCATCAGATCCGGCAGCAAGCATCTTTATATAATCTCACTTTTTTTTTTTTTTTTTTTTTTTTGGTTTTTTGAGACAGGGTTTCTCTGTGTAGCTTTGCGCCTTTCCTGGAACTCCCTTGGTAGCCCAAGCTGGCCTCGAACTCACAGAGATCCACCTGGCTCTGCCTCCCGAGTGCTGGGATTAAAGGCGTGCATCACCGCCACCCAACTTTCCTGTACTCTTATTATAAAGTAAGGATCTTGGTTTCTCACGTCATGACCCCAAGATCTTACAACTGAGAACTATGCCCAGAGATGATAGCCCAGAGAAAGTGAAGCCATTTCCTCCAGTTCCAGTCTTCATGTGGCCCTCGGACCTCTGACCAGCCTTGTTTCTGCTCAGATCCTCAGATACATCTGTTCACAGCACCCAGTGCAGGTCCATCTGGCCTCTCCTGTTTCTGAACGACCCCTCTCGGTGGGACAAGGGAAGCAAAGATGCAGTGAAGTACCTCTCCTCCATCCTAATCCTGCCTCCTTCACTAGCAGTTTATAGACCGCCTGTTAAATCCAATCCATCTTCAGCAGTCAAGCGCTTGTGCTTCTTCTGTGTCTGTGCTTGCTGGTGAAGTTGCAGGAGAAACGTGTAGAAGACAGACATGTAGCTACTGCCACAGTCTCATTTTTCTAGTCTATTAAAAGCATAGAAGATACAGACAGACAGTCCCAGCCCTGGGGCGGCAGATGCTGGGGGACTGCAAGTTCCAGACCAGCCTAGGCTAGCAATCAAGAAAGAAAGGTGTGTGTGCACTTGTGTAAGAGCCCCCATGCCACCAAGTGGGAGTGAAGTACGAATGAGACACTGAGGACCAGTCTTCATGGTGCTTGGCCCCTAGGCCCAGAAAGGAGTGTGTAGAGACTGTTGGTCGAGACAGACGATAGCCGAGCTGGAGAGATAGCTCAGGTTAGGAGCACTGGCTGCTCTTCCAAAGGTCCTGAGTTCAATTCCCAGCAACCACATGATGGCTCACAACCATCTGTAATTAGATATGGTGCCCTCTCCTGACATGAAGGCAGAACACTGTATACATAGTAAATAAACAAACCTTTTTTGTTTTGTTTTTTCGAGACAGGGTTTCTCTGTGTAGCTTTGTGCCTTTCCTGGATCTCGCTCTGTAGACCAGGCTGGCCTCGAACTCACAGAGATCCACCTGGCTCTGCCTCCCGAGTGCTGGGATTAAAGGCGTGCGCCACCACCGCTTGGCTTTTTTTTTTTTTTTTTTCTTTTTTAAACAAATCTTAAAAAAAAAGACGGATTACAGCCAACAGCCACAGCTGTGCACATGGGTTTCTCGGACTATCCATGGCCCTGGTCAGAAAGCAGCAGTACTGGGATGACCGTCCACAATGTGTCCCATCTAAGCTCTGTTTGATGGACATCTTCAGTGCTGGATACACATGAGCTAGGCAGTGAAGACAAGGCACAGATGAGTGGTCAGTATCTGGAATCTTAGGCCTGTGCACTGATTCTCAGGGTGGTTTCCACGGTCAGTGTCTGTCAGAAACATGCCTGCAGGGGCACCTCTGAAGCTGCAGGCAGCATGGTGAATCTCAGGAGGAGCACTTCCAATTGTCCTCAGAGAACACAAAAGGGACCCTGCACCCCTCTCTGAGCACCTGCAGTATGTATGCAGTGTAATATGGGGTCAGACCTGGGTAGAGGACAGTCTTCCTTTCAGACACATGCAGGCAGAATTCCAAAGGCTCCTTTTCCAGCACCGTGGCCTGTCCCTTTAAGGTAGCAGCTCTACTTCTGCAGGGTTGGCCTCCAGAGGTTACACAGAGGATGAGAGGAAGCAGTGGCGGGCACCTGGGCACTGGAAGAACCTGCCAGAGCCTGGTCCACACACATGCCCGAAGAACCTGCCAGAGCCTGGGCCACACACATGCCCGAAGAACCTGCCAGAGCCCGGGCCACACACATGCCCGAAGAACCTGCCAGAGCCCGGGCCACACACATGCCCGAAGAACCTGCCAGAGCCTGGTCCACACACATGCCCGAAGAACCTGCCAGAGCCTGGTCCACACACATGCCTGAAGAACCTGCCAGAGCCTGGTCCACACACATGCCTGAAGAACCTGCCAGAGCCTGGCCCACACACACATGCCTGAAGCCTGCAAATTGCAAGCAGGACAGCTGTGTGCTGGCTGAAATAGGGAACCACCCAACTTACACCATGCAGGCCAGGCTAGAGGCTCTCACAGACGGATGGATGAATGGCCAGGTGGACATTCACCCTGAATGGATAGAAGCCTAGAGGTTGTTCCTACAATGGTTGGTCACTGCAGGTGCTGGCTATGAAAAAGGAGTCTTGAGCAGCCTCCCTTGGCACCACTGATGGAGGGAGCATCTCCTAAGGAGGGGTGTGTGTGTGTGTGTGTGTGTGTGTGTGTGTGTGTCTGCGGCTCACGGGGAGGCCTCAACAAGTGAGCACACCCAGGATAGGTGTGCTGTTTCCTAGACAAAGCAACTGAAATACGAGGAAAGCCGCAAATGCGCAAGGTTCATCAGGAAGCAGGACTGCCAGCAGACACAGACCAAGGGCTTGGATTAACAGCATCTACTTGGAAGCAAGAGCAAGTCCCTGGAGCGGGCCATGGCTGGCTGATCTGGCTGTGTGGGAGAAAGCCAAGCATTCTAACTACGGTAGCCTGTCTGGCCTGAACTTGCTATGTAGCCCAGGCTTGCCTTCAACTCATTCCCTGTTGGGATTAAAGGTGTGCACCACCACCACACCGAGCCTCTTGTCTGTGCCTTTCTATGCCCTGGGCAGGTGTGAGCACTAACTTCTCACCACCCAGCCCTATGGACAGCTCCTTCCCGAGGCTGAGGCCAACAGTTCCAGGTTGTCCCACGGCTGTACAGACAGGAGCTTCGTGGGGGACTCAGAGATGAGCACTGGCATCTGGTCAGCAGCCAGGAAGACAAGAGTGGAGGACCATGCTCCTGCTCTGGGACGGTCTTACTCTAGTGGATGTTAAGTTCATTCCGGAGAAGGCAAGAACAGCCCTCCCTCATCAGAGTCTGAGCAGATGGGCCTTCACCGGGGCCACTCCGGCACCTGTACCTTTGAACTGCTGCTCAGCAAGTGAGCAAGGGCTCTTGGATGCAGTGGTTGATATAAGACCCCGAGGCTACTCAGCCAGCTTGGCTTCTGTTGGACACAGTGCCCTTGACAGGCAAGGGCATCCTCTTCTCTGCCCTGGTTAGTCTCTGCAGATCTAATTACAGACACACACATGAAAATCTCTCATTGTTAAAACTGGCACACATACATACAAAATCCTATAATAACTTGCTTCAGCTAGGCTAAATTTGATTTCTTTTAAAATTCCAAATAAAATGTGAAAGCTGGCAGTCTTAGGACCCCTCCAGCTGTGTTAATGCTGCACTCTGTCCTGAAAGCCCCTCAGTGAGGCTTCTCAGCTTGTCTTAGTCCACACACCCCAAATGGAAAGGGTCCCAACATGGTCTTTCCACTCACACGCAAGCATTGTTTGCCCTCTGAACCTCCATTTCCTACGCCATGATCAAGACTACTTGCAAATAAAAATTGGATGGCATGGGAGTGTTTTTTCAGACACTACGGGCCCAGGGAATGCAAACTCATTTTAACGCCAGCTGGTGTGTTTAGGTGTTAGTGTTTCAGCCAATCGCTCAAGAAAATTCGCACTTTCTGCAGTTAAAAAGGAAGCCACCTTAACTGTTGACCTGAGTCCCTCCCCTCCCATTCTGTACATTCAAGGATCCCTGTGTAGAGCCTTCCTTGTAGGATTTTGAGTTCATGCCTACTGAGGTGCTAACAAGGCTGGTCCTCAAAGGATCTGAGTTCTAGTTTAGAATCCGCCATTTCACAAGAGTTCAGGGACCAGCTGCTGGGGCCAGCACATTCATCAAAGCTGTCATCATATCTGCTGGGCTGTACCCAGGAGCAGATGGTGACAGGGCTCTTCACTTCCCTCTGGTTTGGTCCCACCAGGCATGTGACTCTGGCCATGAACCAGCAGTCAAGGCCTGTTCCTAACGTACCCAGGTTCAACACAAGCCCATCCACCTTAGCCAACTGATGGCTAGTAGGTTCTTTTTGTTAATATATTTTTAAAATTCCATGTGTATGAGTGTTTTAATTTCAGGTATGTGGGCTCACCACATGTATGCAGTGCCCATGGAGCTCCTCAGGCCAAAAGAAAGCCTAAAGATTTAAATAGTGCCAAATTATTGTGGCCTAATAATGCTACAAAACACTGAAACAAAGCCAATGGAATTAAGCCATTATCAACTACATAGCAACACTCATCAAAACAAGAGCACACGCTGCAGCACAAAATGAATCCTAAAGCTCTTAAGCAGGATAAGGCGGCACATTCCTGAAAATCAACAAGAGGAGACTGAGGCAGGAGGATCATGAGATGGCTAGTCTGGGCAAAATAGGAAGATCCTGCCTCAAAAAACAAACAGCTAGGTAGGAGAGCGGCACACGCCTTTAATCCCAGCCCCCGGGAGGCAGAGGCAGGCGGATCTCAGTGAGTTCGAGGCCAGCCTGGTCTACAAAGTGAGTTCCAAGACAGCCAGGGCTACAAAGAGAAGCCTGTCTTGAAAAAACCAAAACCAACAAATAAAAACCACATCAGGCATGATGGCTTATGCCTATAATCCTAGTACTTGGGGGTTAGAGGGAGGAGGACCCCAAGTTTGAGGCCAACCTCATTTACATAACAAATTAAAGTCTAGCCTGGGCTACATGACACCCTGTCTCAAAACACCAAGGTGGGTGTGGTAGTGCAACTTTTAATCCCAGTATTCATCACTCAGCACTCAGGAGGCAGAGGCAGGTGGAGCTCTGTGAGTTCCAGGCTAGCCAGGGCTATACAGAGAGACTCTGTCTCAAAAACAAAACCAACACAAAATAGATATTTTTAAAAAAAAAATTGCTAAAATCTCACAGAGAACATTCTCCAGAGCCAACTGCCATAAGAAATACAGAAACTCCTCAGCTATTCGAGAGTTACACCTATTTCTAAGTGATCTAGGTTAAGTGTGAAAGCTGACCTACTAGTTTTCAGCAGATCTGTGAATGGGGAAAGGAAAGTCTTTCCCACGATTGCTGCTAGAATAACTGAAGGAAAATGAACCTTGAAACCCACAAGTGTTGTGCTGAGAGAAAGAAACAAGACAGGAAGGGCACACAGCTCGGTCTCTACACTGGGGTGGAGCGCCACAGGTCGGTACTGACCTCTGCAGTGGAAATTGGGCGGGTGGAAGGGGTGGGAAGACCAGGGGATGACACTGGGAGCCACTGGGGTGGGCGTCTTCAGTGTGATAATGTTTGCCAAAGCTCGGGCAGCCTGCACAGGATACAGGCATTTGTATCCTGTGGTTGAATTTTGCCTTGATTAAAAAAAAAAAAGTCCGCCGGGCGGTGGTGGCGCACGCCTTTAATCCCAGCACTCGGGAGGCAGAGCCAGGCGGATCTCTGTGAGTTCGAGGCCAGCCTGGACTACCAAGTGAGTTCCAGGAAAGGCGCAAAGCTACACAGAGAAACCCTGTCTCGAAAAACCAAAAAAAAAAAAAAAAGTCCAAAGTACACAGAAAATGTTAATAGTCATTTATCTTTGGGAAAATGATGCGAGGGATGCATCGGGCATTTGTGGTAGAGGAAGCTGCAGGAAAACATGGTGGTCACAAGGTCACACAACCCTCCATGGCCCACAGGAGGCAGGTCATTGCAAAGCAGATGGCCAACTGTGCTATGCATCAGAGCCACACCAAATGACACTTTTCCAAAGTTAAACTATGAGACATGTCTTACTACATAAAGATAGCCTGAATGTAGAAACATCTATGAATACCACCTATGAATACCATTCAAAACTAACGGTTGGTATATATAAAACTGTCTTCCCTGCTGAAATACACTAACCTTACACAAATGTTCTATCAGTGTCTACTACTTATTATTTTCCGGATCTCCCTTCCCAGGAACAGTGGGGCAGCGAGCTTCGTGGGCCAGCCCAGGAATCACGCTATCCCAGGGCCAGGGGAGGATAATGACACAGCTACAGTGTAAGCTCACGTTACCTCTTTCCGCTCGGCGTCAACATGCATTCTCGCCTGTGTCACAGCGGCCTCCCTGCAAGAGCTCGCCTGCTTGGCTTGTTCAAACAGCGTCTTCAGCTGCTGGGCTGTGCTGAGCAAGGAGTTGACCATCTCTTCCAGGTACAGCCAGCTCCGCTGGTCTGACATCTCCAGCCCACTGACCACGGTGGGAGAGACAGCTTTGGTGGGGGTGGAGGGTGGCACAGCCAAGGCAGGCAGGGATGTCAGGACTAGAGGTAGAATGTGGGACAAACAAGAGGTTAGTGACGCCGGGCGGTGGTGGTGGTGGTGGTGGTGGTGGTGCACGCCTTTAATCCCAACATTCAGGAGGCAGAGCCAGGCGGATCTCTGTGAGTTCGAGGCCAGCCTGGTCTACAGATCGAGATCCAGGAAAGGCACCAAAACTACAGAGAAACCCTGTCTCGGAAAAAAAGAAAAAAAAGAGGTTAGTGACTTCAAGCTTCATACAGCCTCACTCAGGTGTGAGGAGAGCAGGTGGCGAGGGGACAAACTGAAAGGAAAAGGTGAAAAGGTCCTGTCCCTACTCCTTGTTCACATCCCCACATGTCTAATGTTATCAGCCAAAAGTCTTCCTCAAGGGCTGATCACTCACATCATGAGACCTACAGCCCAAGAGAGAGATAAATGGCAGGCAAGGCACCCAGAGAAGGGGCAGCCGTGAGACACGGAAGGAAACAGCCACAGGAAAAGCACACCAAGGACAGGGAATGGAGACTCAACCAGCCCCACACGCAGGAAAACCAAGGCTCATCTGGAAAGTCTCTCTGGGGTCTGCAGTCAATGTGGGCCTTATTAAGGACAGTGGGAGTCATGATTGTCATGCCTGGAGAAGAAGGCCACCAGGATAAACAGAAGGGAGCAGTCATACTGTGATTTTATACTCACTAGACACTGTGAACTCACCCTGCAGGTAGGTCTAGAGTAGACACGTGTGTGTAGATGCAAGCCCTTTCTACCTTAGTCTACTGAGTGCACTGGAATAGACACACCCTAACAGCCGTGAACACCCCACGTGACAGGGCTTCTGCAGGATGCTGTTTCTACTGCACAAAGCCTCTTTCCAGTCCCCACTGTGAACTGGATAAGGCACACCGTCATCACAAGGCCAGCACTCAACGGTTCACGGCCACTGTGACTTAGGCCACATACACCACTGGCTTCTGAAAGGTGAGGAGAATGCGGGCTGGCAAGATTGCTCAGTGAGGAAAACACTTGCAGCACAAGCACAAAAACCTGAGTTCAAATCCCAGGAACCCTGTAAAAGCTAGATGTGACAGTGCACCTCTGCAATCCCAGCATGCCTACGGTGAAATGCGAGGTTAAAGCACGAGATTCCACTCTGGAATGCGAGCTAGCCTGGCATGGGCAGAGGAAAAACAAGAGACCTTCTGCCAGATACGGTGGAAGATGAGGACTCATACCCGAGGTTGGTCTCTGACCTCCACGTACACTTGCTCTAGTGCACCAAAGGAGTCATATGTCCATACTCACATACACACAAATGTGTGCAAAACACACGATAGGTAGGGTGGTACATGCCTTTAACTCCAGCACTCAGAAGAGGCAGGTGGATCTCTGGGAGTTCGAAGCCAGCAAGTCCCAGATCATGCCAGCCAGAGCTATCCAGACCCTATTTCAAAACAACAAAAAGGTACACCTTCCCCCCACACAAAAAGAATGAAAGAGAGAGAGAGATGAGAAGGAACTTCGGATGAACCTCAGCTGTCGGGTTAAGGCAGAAAATAAGAAAGTTCCTGCGATGAGGGGCAAGTCAACACAGAGACCACCTATGGGGTTCCTGTTCCCTCCTACAGGGCTCCCATCTCGGAGGATGAGCAGAAATCAGAAAAGCAGCAATCATGACCCACAGATTAAAACAGGAAGCCCTATGTCCAAGCTTGTGCAAAACATGATGAGGCTTTGTAGACCTCTGTGGACTCAGGAACCTCCCATGAGACTTCCCTACCTCACTCAGGTGCCACGGTTACCCTGAGCAAGAAGAGGACAGGGCTCAGAAGACACAGCAGTCCATGGTCTATCCCAGGTCTGTACCATCATTGACAAAGACACACCAACCCATGCCACATGAGTCAACGTCACAGAGTCAGGGTAAGGGACATTCTACATGACAGCTGTTGGTAACCTCCAACAAGGCAGACGAGAGGCCGAGTGTCAGGGGACAAAGTTCAGGAAGCAAGTCACTGGGGCCACCAGTCACTGGCTCACGGGTGACCAGTGAGTGCTTGCTTACTGAAGTCTTGAGTTTCAATCTTTTTTCGTTTTTGGTTTTTCCAGACAGGTGCTGGATTAAAGGTATGGGCCATCACTGCCTGGCCATACCATCTTCTCTCTCCTCTCTCTGTGTGTGTGTGTGTGTGTGTGTGTGTGTGTGTGTGTGTGTGTGTGTGCGCGCGTAGGAAAAAAACAAAACACTGAAGCATGTTGTATGAAGACTGCAACTACTCTTAAATATTTAGGGGATAAAGCTCTTCGTATTTTATTTATAACTTTTTTTGAATATCTGAGGTCATTTTCAAATTTTTGTTTGTTTTGTTTTGTTTGAGACAGGGTTTCTCTGTGTAGCCTTGGCTATTCTGGACCTGGCTCTGTGGACCAGGTTGGCCTTGAACCCATAGAGATCTGCTTGCCTATGCCTCCTAAGTGCCAGGATTAAAGACATGTGCCACCACTGCCCAGTCCCCCAAAAAATCATTTTAATGTTATAAAATATGTGTTCTCCTGCAAGCTGAGTGCCAGATGAGCAGTAAAGGACATAATCCCCCCAGGGCAGCAAAGGGTCCAGCCTGCAGCAGGGACAAGGGAGGAGGCTGAACCCTGTTGGAAGAAGTGGAGTCCGAGTGTGTCTTCAGGATGGAAGGGTTCAGACAGACAGAAGGGAAGATAATGTGAACCAGGCACAGGCCTGTGGCGCATGCCTTTAATCCCAGCACTCAGGAGGCAGAGGCAGGCGGATCTCTGTGCGATCAAGGCCAGCCTGGTCTACAGAGTCTACTGGTGTCAGGACAGCCAGGGTTGTTGCACAGGGAAACCCTGTCTTGAGGTGGGAGGTGGGAAGGAAGATAATGAAGCAAGCAGGAGAGGGGAAGGGATTTTATTTTATTTTATGCTCTTATAGACAAGTTTCTCATGCTGGAGAACCTGACAAATATAAAAAACAAATGTTCATCAGCAGGAGAAGGTTCAGGTAATATTTTATCCATAGTATGGACCTTTAAAAAGTGTACTGACAGGCCGGGCGGTGGTGGTGGTGGTGGTGGCGGCGGCGGCGGCGGCGGCGGCGGCGGCGGCGGCGGCGGCGCACGCCTTTAATCCCAGCACTCGGGAGGCAGAGGCAGGAGGATCTCTGTGAGTTCGAGGCCAGCATGGGCTACAAAGTGAGTTCCAGGAAAGGCGCACAACTACACAGAGAAACCCTGTCTCGAAAAACCAAAAACAAAACAAAACAAAAAAAAAGTGTACTGACAGAAATTTGCCCAAAATGTGCTGCTAAGTGAAAACTCAAGGTCAAACTGCCCACACAAAGAGGGTCATATCTGCTCTCAGCTACAAGGACACAGATACTGGCACAGTCCCTGTGGTGGTGTGAAAGAAAATGGCCCCCAAAGGGAATACACTATTAGATGGTGTAGCTTTCGTAGAGTGGGTGTGGTCTTGTTGGAGGAAGTGTGTCACTGTGGTGGCGGGCTTTGAGGTCTCATATATGCTCAAGCTATGCCCACTTCCTGTTGTCTTTGGATTGAGATGTGAGGATGCTCAGCTCCAGCATCATGTCTGCCTGCATGCTGCCTTGCTTTCCACCATGACAATAATAACTGAACCTCTGAACTGTAAGCCACCCCAATTAAATGTTTCCCTTATAAGAGTTGCTGTGGTCATGGTGTCTCTTTATTAAATAGAAACCCTAACTAAGAGAGTCCCTCACACGAGACACAGCTTGATCCAATTCCATGGTTTGTCAAGGCAAGGAGATAGTCTGCTCACACATTTCTATTGGGGTAAACCTGACAATAGCAATATTAGGTCATTTCAGTCTCTGTGGAAGTAGCCCGATACAAAAGAAGCCTTACACATAAGTGAACAACATGGTTGTGTCCAATAAAACTTTATTTACAAACACGGGCAGAAGCCTGAACCTTGCTAGCCTAACCCAGCACTTCAAGAGAAAAAACAAACACATTAGCACAAGCCTTATTTCACTCACAGGAAGCAATTCTGTGACTGGGGCATGGGTCAGAAGTAGAGCATTTGCCTAGCATGTATGAGACACTGGGTTCCAGCCGCAGCACTACAAAGAATAAAAATCAAGCCAAACCACGATTCTGAGGACAACAGCTTGCATACACATGAATTCTTTTATACTCACCGATTTTGGGATGTGATGTTGGCAATGCAGCTTCTGGAAATGGGGCAATCTGACAGCTGTCCTGATAGCCAGGATAGTGGGGTTCAGGATGGCCAACCCTGCAGGGGGGCTGCACACCTGCCTCTTGCACTGTTAGTGAGAAAGAGGCAGACAGCCTCAGCACTTTGCTATTGGCACAGCAGAATTAATTCCATGTGTCCACAGTTGCATTCTCAATGCAGAGATACCAGCCCTGAGAGGCTGCTGAGTACCTGGATTGTGTACTTTGAATTGATTGACACACTGGGATTTGGGTGGTTGATGAAATAAAATTTATTACAAAAGATATCATCACGTACTTTGCTAACATGACTCTTAGAATATTTAAAAGTACACATGGGATTGTTTCTAGTGGCTGGTGTCAGCCTAAAGCAACGTCTACAAATGCTATGTATCTCTGTGTGTTGGTCACAGTGCTATTTCTCCAATACCCACCAGGCTCCCAACAAGATCTAGCCTTGCTCAAGGCCCTTGCCGAGAAGCCAGGCAACAGACTGCCATAGATGTTTGGACATATCAGGCAGATACTGAGACAACTTACCTGTCGCTCCCGCAAAGACATCACCTTGGGCTGGGCTCTCAGAGATAACAGCAGTAGCCTCTACAGTGGATGCTCGGTCAAAGGTTAGTGCTCCAGAGGTAGTGATCTGTCCTGAGGGTGTCACAGTGACTGGAAAAGGCAAAAGGCATTTTACTCATGGCCAGGCCAGGCCCTGGGCCCGAAGCATGCACTGCTCTTTGCAAAGGTGCAGGCTTCAGAGAGATCCCAGGAGCTGGGCCAAAGCATATACAGTGGCATACCCCACACATGGTATGACTCTAGGAAGCCCATGACCTTGGCACGTGGAGGAGAGAGCCAGACCGGGCAGGACTCAGGCCTCTAGCTACACTGCTGAGTCTGACTGTGCTCCAGCCAGAAAATAAAATGTCAATTAACTTTAACATACTTTGCAGTTTGAATCAAAGGGAAAGACTTCATCAGACTAAGAAATGAGAATCCCTCCACTGGGCTAAGGCAGAAAAACAGGCCCACACCTCAGCAAAGCACTGCTCTGCTCTGCTAGTACTCACAGGTGGTGGCCGCCGTGGCAGGAAGCAGTGTGATGTTCTTGGGGGAATCCTTCTTAACTGGAGTTGTGGGCAGTTCATTCTCTTTCTTGCGCCTTTTGTAAGGGACGAAGAGCCTGACTGGGCCACTCTGGGGAAGAAAGTAAAGCTGACCAAGGGTTTATGGTGCCTGCTTCCCACGCCTTATGGGGTTAGTCTATCAGCACTGCAGAGAGCAGAAGCCCCCCACACCACCACCACCCCGGCTCCCCACAGCCCTCAAAATGGCAGAGAAGACATTTTCAGAAGAAATAGATGAGCAGCACAGCTGCCAAGCAAGAACACGTACGTCCTCAACATCTGGAGCTTTGGATTCTTAGAAGAAAGGAAGTGGGACCAAGTAAAGGAGAACAAGGAAAACCACAGCCTGAAATAAAAGTCAGCAGCAGCGAGGAGAGTCACTCAGCGCTGTCTGCAGACACACGGAAGAAGCACTGGCAAGTTGGCATGGTCTATAATCTCAGCAACCAAGAGGCAGAGGCAAGATGATGTTCAAGAGGTCATGAGTTCAAGTCCAGCCTGGGTTACAGTGTGAGACCCTATGTCAGAATTAAAAAGCTCAGGGCCAGGAGTAGTGGCACAAGCCTTTAATCACAGCACTTGGCAGGCAGAGGCAGGTGGATCTCTGTGAGTTCGAGGCCAGCCTGGTCTACAAAGCGAGTTCCAGGACAGGTTCCAAAGCTACACAGAGAAACCCTGTCTTGAAAAAAAAAAAAAAAAAAAAATCCTTAGAGACATGTGCACAAGACAATCTGGCCGAGGTAATTCCTCAAGTGAGAGTCACTCTTCTGGGTTTGTTAACAACAATTACCCAGCACATCACATGCCTCCACCTGGTGAGTGCGGCCATCACACGTGTGTAATTTATGTGGTGCAAGGCTTTGTGCATGCCAGGCGAACACTCTACCACCTGAGTTACAGCCCAGCCCTCCCCTCCTTCTTCGCGTGGCTCTTTGGCTTCTGCACCTGCACCTCTCCCGCACCTCTCCTGCCCACCTCTCCTGGAGTTTGCTGTTGTGTTGTGTGGTCTGTTTCTTGCTCATCCCCAGGTCTTAGTTTGGTTGCGAACCAGACCTTACAGGCGACACACTGTGGCCACAGTGGGTATTGACACCCACTATACCTGGCTTTTTGCTCTCCTGTTTGTTGGAGGCCATGTTGTCTGGATGAAGCACCCCCTGCAGGGTGTAGTGGTCTCTGAGAGCTCAGCCTGGGTGTGCGGTTACCTCAGATAAGAGTAGGCCTCTGACTGGCTGCCTCTGTTGGCTCCTCTGCTAAGCTGGTGCCTACAGGCAGAGCTACAGTAGGTTCCAGAGTTCCTGACAAATCCCTGCCATGTAAATTGCCATTATCTGAGCAGGTGAATCTATGGCTCTTCAAAGGTAAACCTCTGTAATCTGCTCTTAATCTGAGCAGGCTTTTCTTTTCTTCTTCTTTTTTTTAACCTGGAGTTTTATTTTATTTTTTGATTTCTTGATTTTTTTTTTTTTTTTTTTTTTTTTTTTTTTTTTGAGACAGGGTTTCTCTGTAGCTTTGGAGCCTGTCCTAGACTAGCTCTGTAGACCAGGCTGGCCTCGAACTCACAGAGATCCACCTGCCTCTGCCTCCTGAGTGCTGGGATTACAGGCGTGCGCCACCAACTGCCAGGCATGAGCAGGCTTTTCTTGGCTGTTACTTTTCTTGATTCTCTCTAGCTGATGCACGGCAGCATCTTGCTCTGATGTGGCTACTAGTCTTCCCACTGTTCCCAGAATATTCTTAACTTTAGACATCCCTATAGTCGCTCTAAAACAAAGTCAGTTCATTAAAGGAGTCACAGTTCACACTATCAGAATGGCAGTCCTGCTGTGTGCACAGGGATTAAGGCAGGGCCCATCACAATTTGGAAACTAGCCCTAGAAACAAGCTGAGCTGAAGATGCCAAGCAACAGGCCCAGCCAGCCCGATACAGGGCTGAGGTAAGGGGTCTCACCCTAGCACGGTTGGAAAGTCACTGTAACCCATAGCTGTCAGGTGAGCAAGGCTATAGTCTACTCCTACTGTGAGGTAACCTATCCCTTGTTAGGGAGCTCAGGGGGAACGACCAAACTTGAGAGGAGCCTCCTTCAATCTGAGCTGGAGGAGGAGACCTGGCCCTGCCTCTTGTTCTTTCCTTTGGACTTGGTACTTTACTTAGGTGTTTACTGCCCTGGGGGCCCTGGGGACAATCTCCAGAGATGTCAAGTAGTTGTCTTCCACAGTTTTCACTGCTTACTCTTTGGGGGACAGTCTAGTGGAGCACCTCACATCCCCTAGTGCAGTAGTTCTCAACCTTCCTAATGCTGCCACCCTCTAACACAGTACCTCACGCTGTGGTGACACCCAATCATAAAATTATTTCATTGCTACTTCATGACTGGAATTTTGCTCATAAAAGTGTGATGAGTCATAATGTAAATATCTGATATGCCGGACACCTGATATGCGACCCCTGTGAAAGGATCATTCAACAACACCCCCCAAAGAGGGCTGTGACCCACAGGTTGAGAACCGCTCCCCTAGTGGAAGCCGGAGCTTAAAATCTGACAGAGTCCAGTCTGCTGAGTGGTATTTAAAGACTGCAGCTTGGTTCCATGTCTTAGAAACTCTGCGTCTAAGACTATGTCACAAGGAGAGTGTCATGTGTTACCTTCTAAATGTCACAGCCTTGATCTCATGTTCAGATCTTTGCTACAATCTGAATTCACTTTTATCCATAGTGTAGTCTGGGTCAAAGCTCATTCCTTGCCCAGGAACATCCAATGGTTCAGCACCACATGTTGGAAACTTGGGGTTGGCAGCTGGACTCTGGTCAGTTCCCAAGAGATCTCAGATCCTGCTCACACACTGTACTAATTACCACAGCAACATAGAACTCTTACAAGCCCATGGTATGGGCTTGGCAATTTCAGACTTGTGTTCCGAGGCTCTTGAAAGACTAATCCCCTCATGCTGCTCTGTGATTCCACAGGATCTCTGACAGTCTCAGCCATTCGTTTTTTGGGTTTTTAATGATGTTTAAAGTTATATTATTTTCACACCGGGCGGTGGTGGCGCATGCCTTTAATCCCAGCACTCGGGAGGCAGAGGCAGGTGGATCTCTGTGAGTTCGAGGCCTGCCTGGGCTACCAAGTGAGTCCCAGGAAAGGCGCAAAGCTACACAGAGAAACCCTGTCTCGAAAAAACAAAAAACAAAAAACAAAACAAAAAAAAAGTTATATTATTTTCACTAAACTTTCTTATAGTAGAATCACATTAAAATTAGACAAACTGGGCATGATGGCAAACCCTTTAATCCCAGCACTCAGGAGGCAGAGGCGGGAAGATCTCTGAGTTTGAGGCCTGCCTGGTCTACATAGTGAGTTCCAGGGCAGCCAGACTCTATAGAGTCTGTCTCAAAAACAAACAAATAAACAAAAAGTTTAAATATACTTGGTATTTAAAGGCGAGAGCCAGGCAGTGGTGGCGCACGCCTATAATCCCAGCACTCAGGAGGCAGAGGTAGGTAGATCTCTGAGTTCAAGGCCAGCCTGGTCTTCAGAGTAAATTCCAGGACAGCCAGGGCTACACAAAGAAACCTTCTCAAAAAAAGAAAAAAGAATTAAAAAAAAAAAAAAAGAATTTAGAATCAGGAGCTATTTCAAGGACATTAAAAGATCTATCCGACGGGTGGTGGTGGCACACGCCTTTAATCCCAGCACTCGGGAGGCAGAGGCAGGTGGATCTCTGTGAGTTCGAAGCCAGCCTGGTCTACAAAGCAAGTTCCAGGACAGGCTTCAAAGCTACACAGAGAAACCCTGTCTCAAAAAACAAACAAACAAACCAACAAACCAACAAACAAACAAAAGATCTATCCATGATAAGGTGGGGGTTTTGTTTCCTTGTTGGGGATTAATCTAGGACCCCTCACATGCCAGGTAAGTGTTCCATCACTGAGCTATATCCCCACCTTCTTTCTAGTTTTTAATCCTTGGTGCTGGATTCAAGGTATGCACCACCACCGCCCGGCTTTTAGTTTTTATTTCAAGAGTTTCACTAATTTGCCCAGGTTGGCTTTGAACTCAATCTGTAACCCGGGCAGGTCTTGAACTGTCAGTCCTCCTGCGCCAGCCTCACTAGTAGCTGGAATTTAAGTTGATGCTAGCAGGCCTGGCTGGTGAATACTATGACCAAGGTTGAAAGCACGGAGCAGAGTGCCGCAGGCATGTGCACTAGAACCTCTTTCAAAGGAGATGCTGCTTTGGGATCACGTGGCTCCATAAAGCTTTCCCATTCGGTGTCCTGAACTTCCTACAGCACCTTCTCCCCAGTGAAGGCAGCAGCCTTCAGAGATGAAAACGCCTGAGAAAAGGAGGGCCAGAGCTTCCACAGGCAGGAGGCACACAACACCTAGTGACTTACGAGAGTCATGTCGTCACAACAGGCAGCGCAGGTACAGGAGGCAGCGTGGGGGTTCAAAATACCATCCTGAAACATAGAAGGTGCCAGAGATATCACAGAGGTATAAATATAGGATTATAGAGACAGAAATACAGAATGAAGGAATCTGCCACTACCAGGAGTTGTTCAGTGCTAGACTGCACCCCCACCACCAAGACAAAAATCTGAGCATAAATACAGTCACTTCTGGAAACTTCTTGTCTAGTCTGCGCCACTGCTGGTAGGCTTTATTCTCTCTTCCTAGGGATGAGACTCCATAGACATTGACTAGCCATAGCCAGGAGCTGACCTGGAGCAAGAATCAAGTCTTCTTCCTTGGGCTAGGGAGTGGGTGTAGTGGTTAAGAGTAATTGCTCTTGTAGAAGACCAAGGTTCAAGTCCAAGCACCCAATGGCTGCTCACAATTGTCTGTAATCCCAGTCCCAGGGGATCTGACATCACATGTACCATGCATGTAGTACACAGACACACACGCAGACAAAACACTCATACACATAAAATAAAAAAGTAAAGAAAAAAATATTTTCTTTCTTCCTGGTAAGGAAAATGGAGCAAAAGGGAGGCAGGTGTGGCTGGGTGCTACCAATCTGACTTCCTCTACCTTTATTCTCACGGGTCTGATGTTTCTCTTTTCTGTGCCTCCTGCTACCCCATCTGCTCCCCACAGCAATTCTGAGTCAATGCCAGCACACACCCAGCGCACGCCCAAGAACATCCTGAGAGCAGATAAACCGCTCTGGTCAGACAGTGAGTACATGTCATCAGACCCTGTCTGGTGCCATGTTCTGGGCACTTCCTACTGCTCATCTTAAAGCTGGCGGGTCCCAACGCATACCTGGATGAGGCACTGCAGGGGTCTGCCCGCATAGCGGATGCTTCTCTTCCAGTCCTTGCTGCTGGCTCTTCCGGCCATGGCCTCAAACTCAGTTGGACTGTACCAGTTCTCTCCCTGCTTGATACACCGACCCCGCCCACCTGGAACGAAGTGGGCTGGTCTTTAGAATTCCTCAAGGCCCGTTGCTCGATTATGTCTTGCTGACATCAGTTCCTTCTCCTGCCTTTTTTCTTTCTCTGCCCTGCCTGGCCTCTAATCTCACCTTCCCTCTGGTCACCCAAGAGGCTGCCTGGCAAGTCATATCAAATCGACACTCCACGGCCACTGCAAGCTTCACTGGTCCCCAACAAGCATCAGCCCACTTCAGGAATCCTCTGTCACCTGAGGCGTCTGAGATGACTGGGGAATATGGTTGAGCTCTGCCTCTCCTCTCTCCCGTTTAGGATCAACTATGACTTGTCCTTAGGTCTGTCCTTGCCTTGTGCCCGCCACGGCCTAGGCTCTAGTGACTGGGGATCCATTTCTTCTAACGTATTTACATGACAGACTTGCTTGGCCCCAGTTTACTAAGAGGGCCAAAGAACACCAAGAACCAAGTCTGAACATGGAATGGTGGTAGCCAAGTGCTGCCTCACCTGAGCCGAGCCTGCTCTTGTAGAGAGTGCCACTGATGTTCCGACAGCGCACGGGCAACTCACTGTCATACACGGAAGGGTCCCAGTTGTACTTGGTGCCACCTTTCTCCTGACCAGGTGCCAGTGGGGTAGGAGGGGACTGAGGACCTGGGCAAAGAGAAGCTATGAGGATTAGAGCACAGAGTGACCAGAACAGCCCAGCATGTTCCATCCCCAACCACAAAGCCCCGCACAGGTACAGAGAGGACAGCCCTGAAGGGTGGTGCCACCCTTCAACTGTAGGCAGCATCTCTTCTCGCCTGGAAACTTCTGCCCTTTCCACAAACATCGATTTTGTTTTCAGATTTACCACTAAGGAGAACCAAAAAGAAGGCCTGGGGTCAGGTGCTGCGGGTACCTGGGGTGAGAGGTGCTGCTGGGCCCTTCAGCCCAGTGGTCTCCACAATGCTCCCATCTGTGTGGACAACTATTAGCGTGGCTTTCTCAGTGTTCAGGCTGTCCCCGATCTGCAGGGCTGTCCTACCAGACTAGAAGGAAAGACACTCTTGTCAGCTCTAGGGTGGCCAGAGGCTGATTACTTGACCCAGTGGAATGTGGCCCTACTGCGAGGCTCTCACCACTTATCAGCAAGATAGGATGTTTACCTCGGCCCACACATCCTCTCCACAGGCATCTCCAAGGCACACAAGACAGAACCAAGAAAAGCACAAAGGCTGCTAAGTGTCGGCACACCTGTCAAAGCTGAAGTGTTCATATTCACAGTTCCTTTCCGGACACTGAGCAAGTCTGTCTCTCTAAGAAGACAATGCCGTGTCTGAAGGCTTCGTACAGAAAGCAGAATGGTGTGACAGACCACAGGAAGTCTCTGACTGTGGACCCAGGTGCTACTGAAAGCATCTTGGATGCTAATGGCTACAGGAGTGAATATGAAGAAAGGACTAATGGATTGTGGGCCTCGGAGAAAGGAGCAGAGAGGTCAGATACAGTGACTCTTCGTGTGTCTACAGAGCTCAATGGAGTGCAAGCAAAGCCAGGCACTAAGAAGCTCTGTTAGGGGCTGAGAGCAGCCGGAGTCTGGTGAACACAAGCTGTAAGGCCAGTTGGCATGAAGGATAGCCTGACCACAGTCTAAGGGCTCCTCAGAGATCCCTGCCTTTCTAGGTGTACACAGCACCTTTCATGGTGGTGACCTAAGGTGAGGAGAATGTCCTAGCTCAAATTGGGTCTTCTGCCTTACCTAGCCCAGCCCTGAGGCTCCTCAGAGCACAGGGAGGCACACAGGCCCCCCATGGCTCCCAGAACAGCAGGTGCTCACCCACATCGAAACCCTGAGAGGGTCTTGAGAATGAGGACTACCCTCGTGGGCTGTGCAGAAGTCAAAGGCTCTGTGGACAGTTGCCAAGCACCCTGAACCACACCCAAGAACAGCTTACCAGGACATGTCCTGATATCGATGCTGCGTTTGCCACTGAGGTCGTAAAGACGTTATCTGCAGAGGACCCCACGTTTGCCACGGTCACTGTGGTCACTTCTACAACAGAATGGGACAGAACACAACTTCACACATGATGAAGGAAGAGCACAAAAGGCAAAGATTGTGTGAGCTTTAAAGTACCCCACATGGGTATATGCACTCCTCCCAGACATGTTAATACTTCTATGGATGCTCAGCTGACATCTCCTGGAGTCCAGTCTAAAGTACTTGCTTCTCCCAGAAGAGGGGGATAGCTACCCTTCCCCACCAAAGCTTTTCACATGCAACAAAAATATCCACCATGACCTCCCATCCCCACTTCACCACTGGCCTTTCTCCCTTTGCAAAGAAGCTGCAAGTCTCATAGGCCTGGGACACCTCCTTGACGATCAAGACATGGCAAACTCCAGTCCAGCCTCACCCCTCTCCACTGCCATAGCTCAGGCCATCCTACAGTCTTGTGTCCACTGTCTGAGATCTCCATGCCATCCTTCCCCAGAAACTCTTCCTCCTGAAAAACACGTGAACCTGCCACAGCCACGCCTGCAACATGAACTTGCCTCCTTGGGGCAGACAGGTCTATCAGCAGTTAACTTCACAGAGCAGCTCCACAAAGATGTGTCATGGCCCTGAGACTTCCAATCACACAGGTTCTTCTGTATCCTGCTGCCTGCCACTATGTATCCTTTGCAGTTGCCCTTCCCCATCTCTATAAGAGGTTCCCTCTGGCACCCAGCATTCTAAAATGCCCAATACCCAGGGAAGCCTCTGGCATATGGGAAGTAACCAAAGATGCCACCTGGAGTCCTGCCAGCCCCAATAACCCAGCCCTGACCAACCTGCACCCCTGTACCTGTCTAGCTCATTGCCAGTCCATGCATGGACACACCTAAATCGTCAACTCAGCTAGCACTGAGCCACCTGGACATCATCTGACTTCAAAAACTTACAACAAAAAAGTAGGAATGTTCTGTACATAAATATACAACTAAAATTCTGACACACACCACACACACGCACACACACACACACGCACACACACACACACACACACACACACACACACACACACACGCACGCGCACAGTTGCAATTCTCTGATGTCACCATAGACAACATCTTATTTCTTTCCTGAACTCAGAAAAATATGTGCAAAGAGGACAAAAACTTCATAGCCCCCAATCCCACTATCAACCCAGAGTTCACAGGACAAAAAGGAGCATCAACAGCTCCAAGAAGCCGGGCCGTGGTGGCGCACCCCTTTAATCCCAGCACTCGGGAGGCAGAGCCAGGTGGATCTCTGTGAGTTCGAGGCCAGCCTGGGCTACAGAGTGAGTGCCAGAAAAGGTGCAAAGCTACACAGAGAAACCCTGTCTCGAAAAACAAAAAAGAAAAGAAAGCTCCAAGAAAAGCCAGGTGGTGGTAGTGCACACCTGTAAGTCCAGCACTTGGGAAATATGGGTGGGCAGATCTCTGAATTCAAGCCCACCCTGGTCTACAGAGTTCCAGGACAGCCAGGGCTATACAGAGAAACCCTGTCTTGAAACAAACAAACAAATTCCAGAGAAGGAACCAGACAAACGGCTCAGCAGTTAAGAGCACTGGCTGCTCTTCCAAAGGACCCGGGTTCAACTCCTAGCACGCACATGGTAGCTTACAACTGTCTGTAACTCTAGGCACAGGCCCACAAATATACATGCAGCCACATACTTTAAATGAATTAACTTAATTTGTTTGCTTATTTTTTTCTGAGACAGGGTTTCTTTGTGTAATCCAGGACATCCTGAAACTAGCTCTGTAAGCCAGGCTGGCTTTGAACTCACAGAGATCCACCTGCCTCTGCCTCCTGAATGCTGGAATTAAAGGCATGCACCACCACAGCCCAGCTGAAATTAACTTTAAAAAAAAAAACCCTCCAGGAAGGGACCAGAGAGATGGCTTAGATGTTGAATGCATACTGTACTTTCAGAGGACCCAGGTTCAATTCTCATCACCCATGCTGGGTGCTCACAACCATGTTTTAACTCCAGCTCCAGGAGGAATCTGATACCTCTAACTTCCACAGGCAACTGCCATCACATACACATATCCACATACACACATAAAAACAAAAATATTATCTTAAAAAAGGAAAAGCTTCAGGAAGCCTCCCTCACTTCCGTGACGGGATCTAGACTTCAGGTTGACAAGCAGAACCAAGGCTTCTCCTCCTACTGCTCTGAACAAATACCCAGAGTTGATGCGCCTCAGCTCTGATGTACCCTGAGCAGAATCCCAATGTCAAACCTGCAGAGCTTCAGATTGGAAAGCACCTAACAATACAAAAAGCATAGGAAAACGATGGTCTTCCAAAGATTCAAATGTACAAGTATAAGACATTCAGGAGTTCCAATTGGTAGGGAGCTCAACACTCAGGAAGGTCAAAGGTTGGGGGATATGGTGGGACTGTAAGAGGTAGTATGGTGTGGCATCACCTGTACAGGGTGATGCAGCTCAGCTCAAGGCTCCATTTGTCACAAAACATGAAAATTAGGGTACTCTATGTGTCAAGAAACCAGAAGAAGCAAAACAGAAAACTAAATAATGGAGAAGGAGGGAATATCTGCATAGGAAAAGGCAGACTTAGAAGACCTAGCACAAGGAGATTCTAATGTCACTACAAAGCAAGGCTGATCTGCATCATTACCTTTGAAAAGCTGCCTGCCTTGGAGGACACTCCTGGCCCTGGGCTCAGGTCACACTTGAACTGGCCTTTGGGGCAGACAGGTCTACCAGAAGTAATGCCGCTGACCAAACCTGGAGCACCTTCAGAACAAAATTCACATCTGACCCATCTGCGCTATCAGCTCCCAGGAAGCAAGAGAGGACAAGGCAGGTAGTAGGTACTGAGAAAGTTCCAAAAGGGTAAAAACAAAACAAAACAAAAAGAGCAGAGAGGCACATTCACACAAGGGAACATATATGTATACAGTGCTGAGCCAAGCTAGTGGAGTGTGCAAGATGTGTATGCAGGGCATTGTGAGATGCAGGGCAGGGATAGAGCAAGTGTGCAAGGCATTATGAAGTGCATGGGCAGGTGCAAGTAGGTGTCAGGGCATTATGAGGTGCATGGGCAGGTGTGAAGTGCATAGGCAGGTGCAGAGCATGTGTATAGAGCAGGTGTGATGTGCAGGGGCAGGTGTAAGGTGCATGGACAGAGGCAGGGCAGGTGTGTAGGACATTGTGAGGTGCACTGGCAGGGCAGGTGCTGGGCAGATGTGCAGGACAGGTGGAAGAGAGCCTTTCCTGTGAGACAGATGTGCATGACAGATGCATAAAGCATATGGGAAGCGGCCTGTACGTGGTGCATGTGCTCAGGGCTTGTACGCGGGAACCCGGTGAGGCGCGAGGCCGGCGGGCGCACTTGCCTGCGAAGGCGGCAGCGGCGGCGGCCTCATCGGGGCTGGGCAGAGCCTCGGTACCCATATCCATGTGCCCAGATTCGGCCGCCATCACCGCCACAGCCGTGACCCGCCGCGTCTCGCGCTCCGCCTCGGAGTCCGCGTCCTCCTCCGAGTCCTCGTCTCTGCTTAACACCGGTTCCTCCGCCTCGCTTTCTGCTGCGGCCGCGGCCGCCGCCGCCACAGCGGCCGCGGCCGCCACCGCTGCCGCCTCGGCCAGGCCCAGCTGTTTTGCCGCCGAGTCCGAGTCCTCCATACGGACTCCACCGAGTCCGCCCGAAGGCGCCGTCCGGGACCGCCCGAAGCGCCAAGCGCCGAGCCCGAAGCGGGGCCCGAAGAGGCCGCCCGAGTTGGGCCGAGGCCGCCCGAAGCCACCGCCCGAGCAGCGACCGAAGAGGCTGTCTGACGCCCGCCGAGCCGAGCCGAAGCCGTCCGCCGAGCCGAGCCGATTTCCCGAGTGTGGAACCGAGAAGCTCCGAAGTTTCCCGAAGCGAAGAGTCGAGTCAGTACGAATGGTTCCGAAGCTCCACGGAAGCTTACGAGCGTTTCTTCCTCGGTGCCTAGCAGGCTCATCTGATTGTGGTTACCGGCCGATAGGGCTGGTCGGCTCTAGGCAGTTTCTCGCTGGCTTCCAACGAAGTTTAGGTTCGCCGACAGACCCTGGCGCCACTGGACTTTTCCAACCCCCTCTGGCGGCGGCGGAAGCCGAGCCCACACGAGGCCTAGCCGAACTCCGCCGAACGTCTCCGAGCAGGATTCTCCGGAGCCTCAGTGCCCGCCTCCTCCTGTCCGAAAGCTCCCGAGTGTTGCCGGACGGGAGAATCGGGCCTCGGCCGCGGTCGGCCGCCGTCGGCCGCCCGCAGCACCGCGCGGCGGGAGGAGCGAAGATGGCGGGAGGGTGCGGCCAAGAGGCTGCTGGGATTGTGGCGGACCCAGCGGCAAAATGGCGGCCGTGCGGCCAGGTGAGGCGGGCGGGGCTATACGGGCGCCGGGACAGTGTGGTCGTGCTGTCGCGATGAGAGGCCATTTGGGCTAGCTCCGCAACTCCTCTAATTGTCCCCTCGCAATTCCGGACCCTGGTGGCTGAAGCCCACTAGTACGGATTTCTGCGGCGGAGTTGGGGGGAGGGGCATGTCTTCCGGTTGGGTGTGAGCTTGGGGCACTTCGGGGATCCGGCGGTTTCCCTGAAGTTCATCTCTGTACACCAGTGACATACCTGACATACACAATGGGGGACCCCCGTATACAACCATACAACCAACGCCTGTGCACCCAGGACCCACCGGCGGCTCACCCAGGGTACACTACCGAAGCACACAACCATAGCTCACTAAAACTGACCCGCGTGGCATGCTTGTGGCTCATCCTGAGCATACCCGCTGCTCACCCGGTGCACACACTTGACACACCCGTTTCTCACCAAGCGCTACACCCTTGGCATACCGGACTTGCATACTGAAGTTACTCGGAACACGACCATAGCACATTTTCAGCTCACCCCTGGCAGAGCTGCCGCTCACCCCAGGTGTAAGGATAAGTAAGAATTAAGTTTGTGAGAAGAAATAAAAGATGATGATTTAGACTGTCTCAAACAGCTAGAGCAGGCTTGTGTCAGAGACATGACTATCATGTCCTGGCCACATGATGATCAGGACACGGGATCCAATCACTCAATGACCAGAGTTCAAGACAACAGATTATGAGCTTTAGGCTGGGTTTTTTGTAGCTAAGGCTAGGTAGGGAAGGGGTGCTTGTTAAGTGCATAATAGGTAAGTTAGCTCTTTTCCTTAGACAAACTGGTTTTGGAACTTCAGGGTCTGTTGTCTCTTTTTACAACCATGCAGTATCTAGGGTAGGGGTCAACTGCTTTTCTTCTGGACTCTATGTGTCTGGAGTCAGCACCAGCTGCTTTTCCTCTGCAATACCAAATAGCTGGCTTCCTGGAACTTTGAGCTAAGTTTTAGGGCCTCGGCTTTTGGTGGGATTCTTTTACCAATTATAGCCATAACACACCTGCTGTTTGCCCTGGGATACACCATGACACACCTGCAGCTCACTACAGATTTATTCAAAGCACGCGCTGGGACATAATCAAGATATTCATAGCACGCATGCAGCTCACCCTAAGCACACCTATAGTTCTCCCTAGTACATCCATGGCATACCTAAGGTACCTCTGGCACACACCAGACACAACCATGATACAGTGTCAGCTTACCCTGGGTGAATGCACACCTGTATATTCACACACACTCATGCCCCTGTGGCTTACTTGAGTCCTGGGCAGCCAGAAGCTGCTGTAGCCCACATTTCACCGTGGCCGGAGTCCCATGCCCAATGACCCAGGTGATGTGTGGGCAGACAGGGCCAGGTGCCAGCGGTGTGAGTCAGAAGGTGGTCACAGCCAGCTCAGACCTGTGCTTGTCCATCCATCCATCCATTCTCCCAAATGTTCCTTAATGGAACACGTTTCAGAAATGTGATTTACTACACGGGCAGCCTAGGCTGCCTGGCACTTACTGCCATACTGCTTCATTTAGTATCTGCCACAGACTTGGAAGTGCTATTGTTGTGTGCATATTTAGAGTAAAAAGAAGTTCCTATAGAAAATTCCTATAGAGAAAGTGGTCTTGGGATTAAGTCACATAAAAGGCCCAGTTTCCAGGCTGGGCTGTTGGCCTACTCCACTCATCTATCAGTTGAGAGGCTGAGTCAGGAAGATGGCCTTGAGTTCCAGGCCAGACAGGTCAGAGCTGCTTAGTGATGTCCTGTCTCAAATTAAAACAAAACAAAAAAAAAGAGTATAGTCCCAGCACTTGGTAGACTGAGGCAGGAGTACAAATTCAAGGTCAGCCTGGGCTGGAGACCTTGTTCCAAAAGAAAGAAATAGTTCCTACCAGAAGAGACTTTGTCACACCAAGAAAACACTTATTCTTTTACTCCCACGGTGTATCTGTTGCTAGCCACACTGTGATTACCAAAAATCATTGAAAAAGAAACAGTGTTAAGTCCCAAAAGTCAGACAGCAATTCAGTCAGATGAACTCCTGTAGGTTTGAAAGTGTTAGAATTATTTTAATTAATTAATCAGTTATTTTAAAATGCCATTTAAGCTGGGCATAGTGGAGCACACCTTTAATTCGATCACTCGGGAGGCAGAGGCAGGCAAATCTCTGAGTTTGAGGTCAGCTTAGTCTCCATAGGGAGTTTTGGAAAAGCTGGGGCTACATGGTGAGACCCTGTCTCTGAAAATAAATAAATATTATGCCATTTGAGGGTTTTATACAGTATTTTTTTTAAATGTTTTATTATATGCATGTGAACAGGAACGCTTGAGTGCATGATGCCCACAGAAGCCAGAAGGCATTAGATTTCCTGGAGCTAAAGTTATAGACATTTGTGGCTGCCTGATGTGGATGCTGGGAACCAAACTTGGGTCTTCCATAGGAACAGTGTGTGCTTTTACCAGCTAAACCATCTCTCCAGCCCCCTCCCTATATAGTATTTTTCTCAAGTCTCACAATTTTGATCTTTAACAATAAATGGCAGCAGATACAATTTAAATGTTTCTGCTACCTTTTGGGGGGGGCGTGTACCATTGTTGGGGATTGGGCCCAGGACTTTTGCATGCTAGACAAGTGTCTTTTACATACATCCCAGCCCTGATACTACGTGTTATAAAACGATCCAAAGGGTGGGGCGGCGGTGGTGGTACATGCCTTTAATCCCAGCACTGGGAGGCAGAACCAGGCGGATCTCTGTGAGGTCTACAGAGTGAGATCCAGGACAGGCATCAAAACTACACAGAGAAACCCTGTCTTGGGGGGAAAAAAAAGAAAAAAGAAAAAAAAGGATCCAAAGGGGGGCTGGAGAGATGACTCAGCTGTTAAGAGCACAGGTTGCTCTTTCAGAGGATTCAGGTTCGATTCCCAGAACCCATGTGGCAACTCACAGCCATCTGTAACTCCAGTCCCAGGGAATCTGACACCCTCTTCTGGCCACTGCTGGCACATCATGCATGAGGTGCACAGACAGACATACAGGCAAAACACCCATACATGTAAAACTAAAGGGGGAAATTGTAAAAATTTAAGAAAAGATTCAAAGGGAAGAAAAACCTCAACTGACGTAAAACCAACCCAAATAATGACAGGTATCTAGGTAGCCTAGTTTAGCTGGGACCTGGAAAAGAACAGATCAGGTTTACTAGAGCGCCCTGTGGAAACATGATGCCACTCCAGTCACACTTGGCTTCCTGCTCCCACACGTGTGCCCGCCAGGAGGCTGTCCAAAGGCTGTTACTAATGTCCTGTGTTTACCAGTTGATGACTCGCCCATGCAAGAGTCCACCTCTCCAGAGTAGGCAGCTTCACGCTGGCCTTCAAAGTCGAGTGACCCACGGAATCTCACAAAGCACTGCTTCCTTTTCTGCTGCAACCGCAGGGAGCACAGAAGACAGAGCAGAAGATGTGCACAGCTTGGGTTCAGGCGCTGCTGTCTGCTCAGAAGGCAGCTTCTTTTATAGGAGGTTTTGGCCAAATTCGGAGTTTTTATGGTGTGCATACACATGTAGAGACGTGCACAGCATGAGTGTGCAGCCAGTGTGAGACTACAGACAGGCAGCCTGACCCAGGTCACATTCCATCTAGGGATGGGCCAGGCAGGTTTTCAAGTACAAAACTTCAGACTCAGAGACACAAGGGAGGTTCCATTACACCCTAGAGCTGACTCTCACAAGATGAAGGAGAATAACACCTACATGGAACATGAGATGTTCTAAGAGGCAGCATAACTACATGGATGCTTTAAAAAGAACCCCCCCCTCCCCCTAGACAGTTAGTTTTGGAGAAGTGAATAAAATTCTATCAGAAAGCAATGTCCTAGGAAGCATGGGTGTAGAGGTGATACAGGAACCTAGCTGTGGCCATTGTTCACCCCATTTATAAACATGGAATCAGAGAACTAAATGACTGTCATGTTGCTGTTGATGTCTTACTGGCAATCCTTTGTCTTCCAGGGAGAGGCTCCTTCAAGGTGGTATCCTGCTGCTGCTGCTTCCCAAGGCCTTGACCAAGCATAGCCCCTTTAATGGCAGTACCACAGTGATTAGCTGGCCTGACACACTCAGCTCTCTGCCTTTTTGTGCCTTTCATTCTCCTCCCACCCACCCCATTTTTTTTTCCCTTAAATTCTGATTAGTAACTTGTAAGAGGGAGAGGTATTCCCTGGTGTGCTGGCTCTGTCACTCACCAGCTCAGCCCTGTTCCCTTCACAGGCCTGGTATGTTATAGGGATTGGCCACTTGCCTGCCACCAACCAAACCAGCATGGCAGGAGGTGAAACCTATTACTTTGAATGGCTAAGTAATACATTTTCTCTAAAGAAAATGAGAAGGACCCTCTTTGTGACTCGTGACACAAATCAGAATGAAGAACACCCTCTGTCCTGCCTGCATCTGCTGATAACTGGGGTACTTAGGCCATGCCCTACCAGGGTGGGAGGGGTACAGCATCACTCTTGTGACCACTAGGTGCCCTCAGGTGAGCACTCCAGGAGCCCATGTAGCAGTAGAAGCCCCAGGTAGGCAGGAGCCAGTGGCTGGGTTCCCTGACCATCTGTAGGTGCCCTGTTGGAACTTACCCAGACCTGCTGATTTGCAGCTGTGGGTGGCAGGATAGGCCTCTCTGCTTGGCCATCTGAGTAGGTGTACTCTATTGGTGAGCTTAAGGATCCTTGATGGCTTACCAGCTCTCGTCAGTTCCTCTTCAGATGCTGTTTCACGTCAGTGGGCTGTACTATGCCCTGTACTTCCTAGCTACATTCCTGATGATTGCATATAAAAGTAAGTTCTGAGTGCCAGGCCCATCAAAGAAATTGTGCCCCTAATTCGCTGATCTGAGTTCTGGCTGCGTGTGTGTTCCTAGGTCAGGTTTTCAGCTATCCTTGTAACTATCTGGTCCTGGATCTGGTCCTCTTGCTTCTGATGGGGATTCTCGAAGTAGCTCGGCTATACCTAGGTGAGTTGGCTGTGAAACCATAAAATGCTTGTGATCCCATAGGTGTTCTTTCAGACTTTCTGAACCTTTAAATATTAATCGTTTTATAGTGTGGGTCTTGGAGACATTTTCATTCAGGCAGCTTTACCAGGTGCTTTGCAGAGTCACCTATGGAGTCATTAAGTATTAAGCATTTGTTCAGAAGCTATGCTCCAAGAATAGACAGGTGACATCTTCCTGTCTGGAAGGATGTATATACTGCAGCTGTCCTCAGACCAGAAGCCCAGCCTAAAATAGGGCTCCACAGTGCTCCCCTCAACTGCCCTCATCCCTATTGCTTTCAGCAGTCAGGGAGAAAGTCTGGTAGAGAGGGAGTCTGGAGTGTTTGCCAGATCCCTGCAAAGACAGGGGACCCTGCCTCCCCAGCCCACTCTGTCACATCAGGTCCCACCTTGAGGTCACTCTTAGCCAGTTGCCTCTTTATTTTATTTATTTATTCATGTATTTATTTACTTATTTATTAAGACAGTCTTATGTAACTAAGGCTGGCCTTGAACTCCTGATCCTTCTGTCTCTTCCTCCTGAGTGTTGAAATTGTAGGCATGCATTAGCATGTCCAGTTTTTATGCATTGGTAGGCTCAAACCCAGGGCTCACGAGTGCTAGACAAGCACTGTATCCCCATCCCTTCCTTTTTTTCCAAGTCACACAGTTCATTTAGATAAGGGTTAGGGTTCTTCCTCCCAGAGCTGGCTGCAATGATGGGCACATGTCTAGGTCCCTAGCTCTGCCCCTGCTCTTTCCTATACTCAGTCACAGACATGTGTAAATAAGGCGCCTCATCCAGGTACATGGCACTGTCAGGGTCTGATCCCTCTCTTTTGATTGGATCTGGTACCTTCCCTCCCCCTCTGCTGGGAGTGGCAAGTATCCTCTCTGCTCATCTTAGACAGAGCCCCAGTGTCTGCTGCCATGGACTGTGCTGGATAGAGTTTGTACAGTTTTCTTAGTAGGCAGTGCTGCCCATGGGGTGCAGAGACTGTCACCACATCAATAAAGAGTCAGGCCAACCCTTTACAGTGCCCTGTAGGGGGCTGTCAGCATTGGACCTCTCCAAGCACTTGGCCTTCAGCAAGCCCTTAAGCACTCCCCACCACTAGAATCAGCGTAATCAGACACCCAGGGTTAGGGTCTGCGAACCTTCAGATTCCCCCAGCAGCTGGGGTCAGCAGACGCTCAGGCACCTCTGGCAGCTGGTCAGCTATTGGCAGCTCCAAGTTGGCATTTTCCATGACTGACCCATTTGTTTGTAATGTTTTTCATAAGTATTCATGAAATTTTCCAGAACCAACTTGCCTTAGCCCAGAGTAAAATATTTTTAGATATTTTAAACAAAATCCTTTTGATCCCACTTGGATTTAGAAAAAGGTGGCAAATGCCCACAGTTTTAAAACCACACTGTGTGTGTCTCAAGAGTACAGAATCTGAGGTTGACCCGTTGCTGACGTGGAGTGGCCTGAGAGGGCAGTTCTCCCGAATTCTGTGACTTCGTGACCCTTCGCGAGCACAGCACCTGGAGCTGGGCAGCTGGTGGGGTGTCCTGTGGCCCCGCCTCACTCTCATCTCTGCTCTTTTCCAGGCACGAAAGGCAACCTGACCGAGGCTGAAGTGCCACTGGCTGCCAGCCTGGCATTCACAGCACTCAGTGGCCTCCTTTCTGTTCACTTCCTGCTCTGGCAGACCTTGGTACTGTGGATGGACTCGGTCCTCAGCACCATTCTCCTGGTGCTGCATGGGCTGGAGACTGGCTTGCAAGTGGTGGTCATTGCTGACTTCATCAGGTAGACAGACCAGGATAACCTACAGAGCAGTGCTCCTCAGCTTCTAGTCAACTCCTTTGCTCCCAGACACAAAGGATATCTTTTTTTATTGATTGTCTGTAGATGGATGTAAATGATTTATAAATCTTTTTTTAGTGAGAGAGGTATGGGAACCAGGGAGGGACAAACTTAGGAGCCTAGATGTTGAAGTTGGCCATCACGGACAGTAGTCAATCCCAAGATGTCCTCATGTCATGGGGCTGGGGTCCTGGCTGTAGCAGCAGGACCACCAGTGATTGCCAGGCCAGTGGAAGGCAAAGCCCTTCAGGAAGTCAACATCTGAGGGCAGCCCAGAGCACCACCCTCTCTCAGCCCCAGACAGCAGCATCCTGGCAGAAGGACTTGGCTCTGTTGCTCTGTCACCATGGGTTTTCTCAAAGGAATGACTGACTTCCGTGCTTCCCACACTGGCCCTGCTTCTTGTTCTGAGAACCGCCTGTACAGTTTCCAGGCCTTAGTTCAGGCCTGGGATCACTCTGGAGCTGCAGGATGGCAGGTCCTGTGTTCCAGTGTCCCCCCAATTTGGCTCCCCATAAGGCCAGCACTGAATAAAACTCTCTAGTTTCCAAAAGGAAACAAAAGCAAGTATATACCAGGTGTGGTGCCACACAAACACCTTTAATCTCAGCACCCAGGAGGCAAAGGCAAGCCTGTCTTTGTAAATTCAAAGACACCCTGGTCTACATAGTGAATTGCAGGTCAGCCAGGGTTGCATAGTGAGACCTTGTCTTAAAAAAAAAAACAAAAAAACAAACCCACAAAAGCAAAAGTAGGGGGTGGGGCTGAAGAGATGGCTTAGCAGTTAAGAGCACTGGCTGCTCTTCCAGAAGACCCAGGTTCAATTCCCAGCACCTACTTGGCAGCTCACATCTGTCTATAATTCCAGTTCCAGTGGATTTGACATCCTCACACAGGCATACATGCAGGCAAAACACCAATGCACATAAAATAAAAATAAATAAGTTTTTTTTTAAATAAACAGGCCAGAGAACTGTGTATGTGATGTTTACCTCAGCTACTTTTGGTGGGGTGGAGGGGTGGAGGGTGGTTTGTAGGGGACAGAGACAGAATGGAAGAACAGCTTTTAGTCTAGGAGTCTGTCCCAGTCCCTTAAACTGTAGCTTCTGTCGAGTGCCACGTGAGTTCCGTCTCATCTCCTGCTCTTCTATCCCTAGCCCACTTTTTCTTAAGAAGTATTTAAGCAGTTTTTTAAAAACAGATTCTTTCATTTGTTTCTGTTACGTGTTGTCTGTTTGGGACACTATGTCTAATCATCCAGTTTCTCTTTTAAACAATAAATAAGTAGTTATGCTGTCGTGAGTTTGGCTTCATTATAACCACCTACCTTCCCCCAGGGTCCAGTAGAGAGGAGCGCATCCTGGTGCCTCTTCTCAGCTCTGTCCTGGGACCTGCCCTGTACCTTCTCCCTTCTTCTCTCTACCCCAGGAACTATCGAGAAGCTCCTTGTGGAGTGTGTTGAGAGTGGTAGGTTGCCGGGCCATCCAGAACCTTCTCTGGGACCAGGGAACCTTCTATGCTCGTGGGTCTTTGGCTGGTTTCCTTTAACCCTTATCTCCCAGAGACCATGGTAAATACCAGGATGGCCTGGAGACATGCTCTCTCTGTCCCACAGGCAGGCTTGGGCAGGACCAGTGATCTAGAAAGCCTAGGGGCACTTCCCTCCCCACTGGCCCTGTAGCTCAAGCAGGTATAGTCTGGGTAATGCAGAATGGGCTAAGGCTAGTGGATCTGGGGGGCTCAGCCACTCCCTGCAGATCAAGTCAGGACCTCAGTTGGGAAGGCAACTTGTCACCTTCCCACATGGTAAGCCAGAGTTTCAAGCCTTTAACACCTCTACTCTTACTGGCCACATGGAGGTGGTATTTCAGGTGGCCCAGAGTGGACATCAGCTACAACCAGCAGCTTGGGCTACCTCACAACAAAGTCAGTGGACACTGGTAGCAGCTCTAGGGAGCCCCACCTCAGCTGCCTTACATGTTTCCCACACTACCCTTTCCCAGCTCTGCCCAGGAATGTCAGGGCCAGCACATGCACCTGCCCCTCCCTTTACACAGCTGAACACTTGACCCCTGCTTTCTGGGCCAGGGCAAGGTCACAGGCAGAGCAAGATTGGGCCAGTTCTGTGAGGTCAGCAGTAAGGGTTGGGAACCAGGAAGCCTCTGTGGGGTTCATCAGGAGCTGGGCCTGGAGGACCAAGTCCACCTCTGCCACTCAGCTTACCTGTGGTGTCTCAGACAGAGTGTGTCAGGTGGGTCCGTGCTGCTGGCCCTATGTACGGAGCAGAGCACTCAATGCCCTAGGAAGTGCTGACTGCCCGCTCAGGACAAACATGCCAGGGCCCTGCCTTCTGGGACTGTAGCCTGGGCCCCTGACTTCCTGGCAGCACCCATTTCCTCTGTCCCAACTCCGGGAACAATAGCCGGGGCCTTAGGGTCCCTTGTTCACATAAGGGCAGTACCCTTGGCTAGTGGGCCATAACTCCATTTGTTTCCTCCTAGCCGGCCAGTTGACTGCTCTAAATTCACCCAATCTTGGCCCGAGCTGTCAGCAGAGTGGGCAGGGTATTCTGGAAGTCAACATGGTGGGACAGGTAACTCTCCATAAATAGCCCATCCCTCAGGGGATGCTCCAGCTGGACAGACTTTAGAGGAGTTCCTATATGTGAAGGAGGGAGAGGCCCCCACCCAGGAGCTAATAGCTCTCAGACTCAAAGCCTTGAACCCAATATCCCAGACCCCAGACTGAACCACTGAAGAGCTCTGTCCCAGTGCAACTTGGGGGTGGAGGGCACCTGATAGGGCTTGGGTGAAAGCTGCAACCCTCATAAGCTCCATCCAGTACTGCCCCTGCAGGCCGGTCCACGTCCCCACCTGCTGCTGCAGCTTAGCCAGTTAGAGCAGCTAGGGCCGCACCCTGCACTTCAGGCCCAGCTGCGAAGGGGCCCCAGGTGCTTTGGGGACCGCTGGGAGGACAGATGGAGGCGAGGGAGGCGGAACTGTGCTGTGCGGGAGGAGGGTGGGGGGAGTGGTGCCCCAGGCCCGCCCCCTTCCTTCAGCCTCCCGGGTGCCCACTCCCGGGTGACTCGGTAACCTGTCGCTCAGGTTCCTCCTCTCACAGCCCCGCCCCGGCCTATCCGGCCCAGCAGAGGTCCCGCCTGTCCGGGGAGAGGGAGCTCCACTGCCGCTGAGGCTCTGACAGACGGCCGGGCAGACAAACTGACCTAGGAGACTAGCCAGGCGCAGGCGCTGGCTGCCGGAGCATACAGGTGAGCGCTTCAGCCAAGGAGTTTGCCAAGCTGGGTCTCAGTTTCCCAGAGTGGTCATGGGATGTGGATCTCTGGCCCGAGACTCTGGGTCGGGCGTTGGGTTTGGAGGGCAACCCAGCTGAGGACACCTGAGTGTGAGGTTTGGGATGATCTGGATCGCAGGACTCTGGGGACAGCTAAGTCTGGGTTTGGGGGCTGCGGGTGGGGCGTAGGAACTTGGGAGAGAGGCTGGGCCTGAGTCTCCCTTGGACTTTTAGCCCAAGAACCGCTTGGCTGAGGCCCGGTCGGTCCAGCGGGCGGCGGCCAGTGTTCAATGATATTTTTAAGCCAGTGGTGTGTGACTCACTCGCCCTGGTCCCGGCCCCCTCCCAGCCCTGGGGCGGATGAGGGGAACCTGGCAGTTGACAGGAGAGGTGGTGAGGACGGGAGGCCCTTCATTCCATCCAGCAGGCAGGACCCCCTTCGGGGTCTGACTCTAGAGTGCGTATACCACCCAGTGCCTGAAGGTTGGCTTTTCCTGCCTCCCTGAGCCCAAAAGCAACCCAGAGCCAGGAAAACATCAGGCTGGGTCAGTCTCCAGGTCAAAGTTGGGGTGTGGAGTCTTGGGGGTAGCGGGGAGAAGCTAGAAGTAGATCCTATGGTGATGGGGGATCAGCCAGTGGGAGGGCCTATGGACATGCACAGCTTGGCTGCCCAAGGTCCCTGGGACTGACAAGTCTGTGCTCCTACAAGAAGGTATCCCAAGGCAGTGAAGGGGAAGGCACGTCCACAGATCATCTCTGCTGTCTCCCCTGTGCAGCCTTCCTTGGCTGTTGAGGGAGGCAGGGCACTGCTGGGGCCCCTCCCACCCTAGACCGTGGTCCTCCTTGTCCTAGACCTCTACTAGACCTGTCTGTTAACCGGGACGGGTCGGCCCGTCACTCCCACCCTGCCTGCCTGGATCTCTCCTGGTGCACGCATCCCCTCCCACCAATAGCTTTCCAGTTTATCTCAGCCTCTGTTGCTCCCCGCTGATGATTCCTGAACTTTGTTCCCAGAGTAGGACCCAGCCAGGACCCAAGGGGCTCCCCCATCCCATTCCAGAGCCACACCCAGCTCCCACGAGGACAGCCAAGAGCCCAGGTGACTAAGCTGACCCCTCCCCAAGGTCACTCAGCATGTCGAGCTGGAATTTGAACTTGGAGCCAGTTCTTCCGCCCTCCTTGCCCTGCCAGGGCCTCCTCCCCTTCCACTGCAGAACCTACCAAACACTCCAGCATGCTGGGCCTCCCTTCAACCCGGAAAATGCCTACAGTAAATCAGTAAAACACCTACTGGGCCTGGGTGTTCCGTCTTCACCAGCAGTGGATTATGAAGATTTCCTACCCCTCACCCACCCCCCTTCAGCTGTAGACGCCTCCTGGGAGTGAGCCTTTTGCAGGCTAGAGGTAGCCTGGTGTCATCCCTCCTACCTAGGCCTAAGGTCCTGGCCTAGATTCCCCCAAGGGCAGGGCTGCGTGTCCGAGCCTGTTCAGAGTCTGTGTGCCTTCAGGCCTGGGTCTCTAGCAGTTTGTTTTGCCCTGGTGTGTGTATTCCTGGCCCCACGTGCTTGGTGCCCTTGGCTGAGCTAGCCAGGAATCCCATTAAGCAAACACTAGAACTCACCTACTGAGGTCATGAGCATTCCGGACATTCTCCATGGATAGGTGGACCTAGAAATCTGGCCCAGCCTCTTCTCACAAGCCAGGACCTGGGGTGTGGGTAGGAGTACAGCAGGAGAGCTGGTCAATGTAATAGCTAAGGCCTACAGTCCTCACCTCCTGGGGGCCCACCCCTCAAGACCTGGTCAAACCAGAAAGTACTAGAATACAGGCCTAGCACCTGAGCCTTCATACCAGCATCCTGGCTGGTGGCCTTACCCTAGCATACTCACATCCTAAAGCTAAAAGAGATGGTGGCCTTGCTGATAACATCGGACAGAGGTAGACTGTATGTGGACCCAAGTGGACCCAAGACCTCAGGGAGAGCTGACCATGGAGCCCCAGAAGGACAGCCAGAAATGCTGTCTACCTGTCTCTCCAGGGGCATGAAGGCAGCCTATCACTGAAGGTTCCTCCAGCCCTTTTGATGTCAGGCTTGCCCAGGCCACCAGCTTCTGTTATGTTCAGAGAAGGGTCCAGGTCTAGGATATAAGGAAAGTTTGCTCATACTGATGGTCATGCCTCAGTTTCCCCAAAATGTAGTTCGGAGAGGTCAGGGCTGAGAAGTCTATCATGGAGGGGCCTTGCATGTGGTCACCTGGATTTGTACTGAGGAGGCCAACCACCCCAAAACTTCTGCCCTACAACCACCCACTCCAGGGTCACCCAAGAGCTGGCAGCTCCTTGCTGGATCTGGAGGAGCTGTCTCTGGTGGGCATGTCCACATGTATATGTAGGGGTCTCTTGGAGTGAAGCCTAGGGTAGAGAAGGAGCAGTGGGGTCCCTCTATACTTGCCCTCCTGGGTCTCCAGCCTTACCCTCCCCTGCTATCCTCTCACTTCCTCGGGGGTTTTGTTTGTTTGTGTGTTTGTTTTTTCAGGACAGGGTTTCTCCGTGTAGCTTTGGTGCCTGTCCTGGATCTCTGCTCTGTAGACCAGACTGGCCTCCAACTCACAGAGATCCTCCTGGCTCTGCCTCCCGAGGAGTGCTGGGATTAAAGGCGTGTGTCATTGCCGGCCCCGGCTCCTCAGGGTTTTTGAAGGAGCTGTCCTCTCTCCTCAAAGTACCCCTCCCCTAGCCTATCTGTCCTTCAAAGCCTCCCTGACAGCTTCTAGGAGCATCCCTGCAGAGAATCAAAGGTCTGAGGCCACCAGCAACAGCATGGGTCTGATCCTGGGGATCCCCTGAGGAGTCCTGCCAGGCACAAAGGTTCTAGTTCCTGGACCAGGAATAAGAAAGGAGACCCAGGCATAGCCTGCCTGGCCAGGAGAAAGTGTCAGCTGGGCTCCTTTGTCCTTAGGTGGAAGCCAGGAACTGGGCTCTAGACTCCAGCCAGACTGAGGTCTGTCGTCCTTGACACTGGCCACCACTGGGGACACCATGAGCCAGTCAGCGTCCATGAGCTGCTGCCCAGGAGCTGCCAAGTAAGTGTTGTCCTACCTCCCCTCAAGTACTCCGGGTGTGTGTGTGTGTGTGTGTGTTTTCACACAGAGACTAGAAGGGAGTATTGAAACTCCTGGAGCTGGAGTTACAGGCAGTTATATGTATGTGTTTGTGTTGTGTGTATGTGTGTTGTGTGTGTGCTGTGAGCCTTGCCCTCACCTGCCTCTCCCCCTCCAGCGGCAGCCTTGGCCGGTCTGATGGTATGCCCAAGATGAGCGCAAAGGACTTGTTTGGTGAGTGAAGTTTAAGGATAGTATGGACTTAAGGAAGATGAATGTGACCATGGTGATTCATCTCTGCTTGGCCCAAGGCTGAGCTCTAGCCTTGGGTCGTTCCAAGTGCCCAGAGGAGGCCTTTGGACCCTAATCCACTGAGAACTTTGGATGTCTATCTGCAAAACTCCCCGGCCACTGAACGCTCTCTGCTATGCTGTAAGGGGAGAGGCCTTTACGAATAATTCAAGGGGCATTAATATTGATTCTCCTGTGCAGCCCTGCAACCCGATCGAGTAGGTGGGGTCAGATGGGACCCAGCTGCCAGGTATCTGCTCCAGGGGACCAGGCTCCTTCTGCCCAGCCATGCCCCTCATTTGTGCCTCTGGATGCTGGATGCTAGATACTAGAAGGAGGCCTGGAAAGCAAGAGCTCCAGATAGTGGGCCGTATTCCGATGGTGGCTTGTAGGATAGGGAAGCCCTGGCCTGGACTCCTTCCCTAGGGAAGTGGACAGCCTCCATTACATAAGACTGAGTTTCCTGCCTACACCCAAACAAACCCTCAGTGAGACGCTGCCCGCCCCCCCCCCCCCAACACACTCTGAATAAGTCTCTGTCTTCTGAAGCCTCAGGTCCCCAGGGGGGCCTGTCATGGGGCCAAGCCAGAGGGCCTCCTGTGGGTCCCCCTTGTCCCCACAGGAGCCTCAGTGCTACTTTCCAGCCTGCATCCTCCCTAATGGCTGGGAGGGGTTCAGAGAGCAGCACCCTCATCTCAGTTCTCCTCTGTGGCTCCTGGGGGTCAAGTCCCACTAGACTGGGCCCTACTCTTTGGGGTGCATGACATCTGTCTCTCCATCCAGAGCAGAGGAAGAAGTACTCCAACTCTAACGTCATCATGCATGAGACGTCGCAGTACCATGTCCAGGTGAGGATCAGGAAACTCCCCCTCTTCCCTTTGTTCCTGGGACAGGTAGAGAAACTGAGGCTCGGGGAAAAGTGGGAAGGGAGAGCCAAGGACTGCCTCTGCTGGTCTTGGACCCAGCCAGTGTGGGGACACAGCTTTCCTTAAGGCTGAGGGAGTTCATAGTGGAGCCTGCTCCAGAAGTTGGTGACTGTGGCCCACACCACCCATGTCACTGTGTAGCTCAGAAAAGACCATGGAAGGAAGTTGTCATCTTGGCCCCAAAACAAGGAACTGCACTGGGAGGAACGTGTTGGAACAAAGACACCCTTTATTGAGTGCCACAGGGAGCCTGGATGGTACTGCCGAGTCTAGACATAACCTGTGCCCTTTGACCAGCTGCCAGCTTGAGTGGCCCTTCTCCTCATCACTTTTCATTTGCCCCAAGAATTCAAGAACTTTTAAAATGTCCTTCCCGGGCCTGGGAGCGGGCTGGCTTCCTAGCCATAGCCTGCGCTTGTAAGATCATGAAGGATAACAGAAGAAAGAAGGGGAGCCCCAGAGTAGCCAGCACTGGCAGTGGGTCCCCTGTATTGCTGGCTCACCCCACACAAGACCTGTACCCCAATGTGAGGCAGGTTGCTGTCCTCAGGACCTTGCCTCCTTGTCTGTAGCATGGACCACAAGAGCCGTCAGGAATCCCCATGGCTCCTCAGTCCTGCTGATCACCCACCTGGGCCAATGGGCCGTGACATGGTGAGCGCAGCAACTCCGTGTCCCAGGACAGGACATGGAGGCACAGAGGGTCGCTTCTGGCCTCTTCCTCTGCAGACAGTGTGCCACCTTTCTCAGAAGTGGAACTTTGCCCTCCTTGGTGTGGAACTACCTGGAGCATCCAGGCTGGCTCCTGGACTTCGGTCCATACTGCTTAACTCTGCCTAGCTGTTGTGGGGACCTTTCCTGCCTGCTCAGAGGCCAGTGGAGCAGGGGTGTCATTAAGGTTTTTCTGCCCCTCTCTGATGGCTGAAAAACAGTAGGGGGGGCACTGAAGTTGTGCTTGCTTCTTTTGAATTTTTTTTTTTATAATAAATTAAGGGGGGACACAGTTCTGTTGCCATCACAGTGGGACATAGAACAGTTCCACCACTCCTAGACTTCTCCACACCTCCTCGTGTTCAGTGCCACCCAACCCTAACTCCTAGCAATGCTGATCCGTCTTGCATCCCCAACACTTGTCTTTTTGAAGACTATTGTCCTAAAAGGGAGATGCTGTAGTTCACAACCAACCACCTTTGTTCATTGCTTCATGAACTTATTTTAAGAAAACCATGTACAGAGTGTGAGAAGACTTTCCAATCATCTCTTCCACGGTCCAATCCAGGCTTTCCCCTACCACTGCCCTGCTTCAGGTATACAGGGGTGCCTTGGCTTTATAGAAATATTGGTGCATATGGTTAGACATGTAGATTAGAAATAACTTCCTCTAAGCTGAGCATAGTGGCACATGCCTTTAATCCCAGCACTTGGGAGGCAGAGGCAGAGGCAGAGGCAGAGGCAGTTGGATTTCTGTGAGTTCAAGACATGACTGATCTACACAGAGAGTTCCAAGACTGCCCGGCTTACATAGAGAGACCTTGTCTTAAAAAAAAAAAAATCTTCCTCCATTAGGTAATTTGTTAACGAAAGTGTGTCATGGTCTTTTGGTGAGCAGACATATTTGATTTTGGAGACATCTAGTTATATGCCCATTTTTCTTTTCTGGTTATTGATTAATCTCCCAAGAGCTCTTGTCTAACAATGAAGAACCCTTCCTGTGTTTTCATGGTAGAGTACTCTTTTGCATCTAGGCTCATGATCAGCTTTATTATTTTATTTTTTGAGACCCTGTCTCTAAATAAATAAGCACATTGCTAGCATTTGATTGGTATTGAGTCAAATCTGTTAATCGGTTAAGGAGAACTGGCATCTTAACAATATTTTGTGTTCCCATCCACAGATATGGGATGTTTCTCCATTTATTAAGGCATCTTTAATTTTTTTCATTTTTCAAGACAAGATTCTCTGTGTAACAGCCAGGACTGTCCTAGAACTTGCTCTGTAGACCAGGCTGGCCTCAAACTCGGAGATCTGCCTGCCTGGGAAGATTTCTTTAGGTTTTTTTAACAGTGTTTTCTGGCTTTTATTGTGGGCGTCGTATTTATTTTTAAATTCATTAGTTTACCAATGGTGTTGTGAGAGGTTCCCCTAGTGCCATGGTTATTACGTTATGTTTATCACATAAATCATCATGCCAGGGTTCATTGTTGTTTGGTTTTGGTTTTGATTTGGGACAGGGTTTCACTCTCTAGCCCTGATTGATCTGGAGCTTGCTATTTAGACCAGGGTGGTTTTGATAGAGATCCACCTTCCCCCACTCTCCTTGTGCTGGGATTGAAGGCATGTACCACCACATCTGGCACAAATAGTATTGGTTTTGTTTTGTTTTGTTACTTTTGTTGTTGTTTTAATTTTTTAGATTTATTTATTTTATAGTATTTTGCCTGTATGTATGTATGTGTAGCAAATGTATGTCTGCTCCCATTGGAGGGCATCAAATTCCCTGGGACTATAGTTTCAGACAGTAGTGAGCTGCCATGTGGGTGCTGGAAACTGAACCAGGGTCCTCTGCAAGAACAAAAGGTACTCTCAACAAGTGAGCTATATCTCCAGCCCCTTTTATTTTATTATTTATTTTATTTGTTTGTTTGTTTATTCAGAGCTGAGGACCAAACACAGGGCCTTGCGCTTGCTAGGCAAGCACTCTACCACTGAGCTAAATCCCCAACCCCTATTTTTTTGGTTTTTCAAGACAAGCTTTCTCTGTATAGTCCTGGCTGTCCTGTCACTCTGTAGACAAGGCTGGCCTCGAACTCACAGAGATCATCCTGGCTCTGCCTCCCAAGTCCTGGGATTAAAGGTGTGTGCCGCCGCCGCCGCCGCCGCCGCCGCCGCCGCCGCCGCCGCCGCCGCCGCCGCCGCCGCCGCCGCCGCCGCCGCCGCCACCACCACCACCACCACCACCACCTGGCTGATTTTTTTGAAATTATAATTACACCATTTCCCCTTCCCTTTGCTTCCTCCAAATCCTCCCATTTACCTGTTCTAGCTCTCTTTCAAATCCAGGGCTACTTTTTTTCGTTAATTGTTGTTACATATACACATATACATGTATATACATATATACTCCTAAATATACAACCTGCTCAGTCTATACAATGTTGCTTGTATGTATGTTTTCAGGGCTGACCATTTGGTGCTGGATAACCAGTTAGTGTGCCCTTCCCTGGGGAAGGCTCTTTTCTCCTGCTCTCAGTGTTCCTGGGTTGCCTGTAGTTCTCTGTGAGGGATTGAGGTGCAGGCCTGGGGGTTCCCCCATCCTCTTCGGCATGTCCACTGGTGTCATCCTGGTTACGTTCATGTTTGGGCAGTCATGTTGGTGAGACTTTCTGAGTGTAGCTTCTGACGTTACTAGGAGACAGTCTCACAGCAAACGCCCCATCCTCGGCTCTTACAATCCCTCTCCTGCTCTTCTGCAGTGTTCCCTGAGCTTTAGGTGTGGGCGTGGTCTTGTAGATTTGTCGATGGGACTGGGTGCCACAGCTCTGCGTTTTGATTGGTTGTGGTTTTTCTGTAATGGTCTTCTTTTGTTGCAGAGAGAACTTTCCTTGTTGAAGGGTGAGGACTACACTTATCTGTGGGTACAAGGACAAATATTTAGAATGTAGTTAGGGATTATGCAGATGTAATAAAGTGGCGGTTGTAGTTTCTCCTCCAAGATCCACGACTTTACTAGTCCTGGGTAGATGGCCAGGTTTTCCCTACCAGGCATGACTTCCCTCCTGTTAATAGGATCTTAAGCCCAGTAGAGAGCTGTGGTGACCACCAAGGAACCTGCACCACAGTGTTGTTCTTTTGCCTTCCAGTTACCTGCTGTTTAAGGAGGCAGAGGCAGGTGGATCCCTGTGAGTTAGAGGCCAGCTTGGTCTACAGAGTGAGTTCCAGGACAGCCAAGTCTATGTACAGAGAAATCCCTGTCTCAAAAAAAAAAAAACAATAAGGGTTGGGGATTTAGCTCAGTAGTAGAGCACTTGCCTAGTCAGTGCAAAGCCCTGGGTTTGGTCCTCAGCTCGGGGGGCGCTGGGGGGGGGTAAATAAATAAATGAGCAAACAGCTGGGCACGGTTGCACACTCCTTTGTTCTCAGCACTTGGGAGGCAGAGGTAGAAAGATCTCTGGGAGTTCAAAGCCAGCCTGACCCACATAGTGATTTCCAGGACAGCCAGGGCTATATAGAGAAACCCTGTCTCTTAACAAAAAAGAAGAAGCAAACAAAATGTATTAGCCTGCTGAATATGGCGGCACAGCCTATAATCTCTTAGCACTTAGCCGGTGGAAACAGGAGGATTAGGAGTTCAAGGCCAGCTAATTGTGCTTCCAGCCTCCACAGGCACCTGCACTCATGTGCACATACCCACACACACCTACACATAATTAAAAATAATTTTTAAAACATCTTTAAAAATGGTTTGAGGCTGGAGTGATGGCTCAGTGGCTAAAAGCACTTACTGTTCTTGTAGTGGACCTGAGTTCAATTCTCAGCGCCCACACGGCAGCTCACTAGCACTAGCAACTTCAGCGCCAAGGGAACTAGTGCCCTCTTCTGGCCTCCATGGGCTGCTGCATGCACATGGCACATGGAAGGGCAAACACACCCACACACCCACACACACACACACACACACACACACACAGGACAATACATAAACAAACAAATGGATGGATGGATTAATTAATTAGCTAATTAATTAATTTAAAAATTAAATTTTGTTTTTTTCAGAGAGGTTCAGGCTGTCCTGGACCTTGCTATGTAGACAAGACTGGCCTTGAACTCAGAGATCCACCTGCCTCTGCCTTCTGAGTGTTGAGATTAAAAGAGTACACCACCATGCCCAGCCCTGAAATAAATAATTTTTAATGGAACTGAGG